GCCAGCGTCTGCCTGTGCATCACTTCTGCCTCCTCGTACTTGCCCTGCCTACCCAGCACTCCTGCCAAGTTGTTCATGCTGGCCAGCGTGGAGGGGTGCTCGCGCCCCAGCACTATCCTCCTTGTCTCCATTACTTGCATATGCAGCTCTTCGGCTCCCTTGTCTTGTCCATCACTGGACAGAGCCATGGCACAATTTTCTGCAAGATTCGATCTCTCCTCGTTATCATTCTTCCCACTATGCGACAGCGCACACTGCGCGTGCGGAAGCAGTCGTCTCCACTTACTTCTGTTACTGTGATCACTGTTTGGAAACACCTGGAGTAGCTGTGTGATTGCGTGTTGATTCCATTCTTGGAGCCGTTCCTGCACCTGCAGCTGTTCTCGTAAGGCGTGATGCACTAATTGGTGAACATCAAGCGCAGACTCGGCAGGGCGCCTAATGATGAGCGCATACCTGTCAAGTATCTTGACGGCGTCTTCACGAGCCTGCGGCGAAGCTGCCTCTAGGAGATCGAGCGAGATGTCCTTTCGATCTACGCATGCAGCAAAATAAAGATATTTTGCAGCAACAGCGTTGCCCTGCTGGACTTGGCCTATAGAGAGAGATACTGTAGCAGCTACAGTGTTTCTGAGACCAGGTTCCTGCTGCTCACCTTCGGACGAGTTACTGCTGTACTTGAGAGCTGCTTCTTTGTGCTCGTTTAGCTGTGCTCGGTATTGCTGCGCTGTCATATTGCTTGCGTTCATGCACGCCGCCGCTTGCGCGACTGCTAAAGGCAGGTACAATAGCTCTCTGAGCAAGTGCATAGCTTCCTGCTGCTTAGTTTCTGAAAGCGGTGTTGTCAAGCGACTTTGTAGCATCCTCAGCGCGGTGTCTGGCGTTAGCTCATCCAGCGCTATCACGTTTTGTGGAGCAATCGCCTTTAATATATCGCTCTCTGTTGTTGTGAAGACGACAGAACACAGCTTGGAGTGCGGCAAAAACTCGACCAGGTCTGCAGCCTCTGTAGACGAGTCACTACGCTGTGCAGCTATGCCCTCGGCGTTGTCAAAAATCAGCAAACATCGCCGTGCACTCAACTCTGCCATACAACGTTTTACGACCTGCTTTATGTCTGCCTGGCCATCGTCGCAACCAGGAATGCTGAGCTTCTGCGCAACGCTTGCATACGACTGGTAGAGGCTGTCTGTGTCGCTAGCATCCATCCAAAAGACTGAGCAGTCCTTGTCGTCTAGTCTTGTTCTGTAAGCAGCCTCGAGCGCAAGCTGCGACTTGCCTGTTCCGCCCGGGCCAACAACTGCTAGCGTAGTGGTGGTCTGTTCGTTGCTGAAGAGCGACGCTTGTAGTTTTGCAAGCTGTGACTCGCGGCCCACGAAAAGCTTGTTTCGTGAGAACGGAATGATTGATGGTGCACTACTGCCGACTCCCTCTAGTTCAGCGTGCAGTCTTCTCAATGCGCTCTCCTTTCCTTCTCTATATGGCGTAGGCATAGAGACGTCAAGAACTCCAAGCAGACAGTACACAATGTCTTCTTCTTCAGTTGTTGTGCGATTCTCCGCCCACCGCATTCGTTCAGATGTGCTGAACTGGTCTAAAGGACAGTTGCGCAGTGCTGCAAGCGGGATGCCGGTGCGATCGTGTAGTAGTTGATCAAGTGACGCTTTGTCGCCTATGCGCTGTCCTTCGCGCGAGAAGAACTCGACTGACACTGGCGCAATCATCTCCTGAAGCGTCCATCCTCGCTTGAACCAGTCGCTCCCCCGAAACAATGCCTCCCAGCTGCTGCGCTGGGACGCCTCTGTCGCAGAAGCCACTGAAACATCTGACAGAAAGACGTAGCATCGAGCCGCGTTACTATACCACTTAAACATCGAGTTGATCGCCATCGAGCGCTCGCGATTGTTCCATTTGTCGATGCAGCATGTGTCGACCCAGAAGTACTGCAGCTGGTCCCGGGCCGCCTGCTTGGCACAAAACCTGAGCTTCTGGTAGCCTTCTTTCTTCTCCTTGTAGCGTCCAGACAATGATATGTCTTCAAAAAGGGCTTCGGAGTCGCTCCATCGGTGCGACAGGATAGCGTAGGGCGGGATCGGCTTGCCGCTAAAGTCTTCCGAGATCAGTCTGTCCAGTGAGTCGAAATGGAGAAGACGCATGGCGCTTGCAGCTTGGTGTTTGGCCTGGGAAAGGAGAAGCGAAGATAATTATGAGGTGAACGAGTTGGTTTTGTCGAACAAAGAGGGCAGCCTGGTGAGGCATTGCATGCAGCCAGGCTGAAGGTGCTGGCTGTATTACCGGTAAGCGCATGGCGTCCTGCACTTACCCCGCTTCGTCTCTGCGCTGAGGTAGTGTTTGCCTTGTAGGCTCATCTGGAGGGGCCCACACGTAGGCATAGTACCAGCAGATAGAGAAAATCTAAGGAGATTGTCATTGTAGCGTCTCGCCTGGTTGTGTACGACGAGAGCGAGCAGGTCTGGGGAAACGGCTGCCTGCACAGCCAGTAATAAGAGCTGCCCAAGGCGAGGTGATCAGTAGAGGACGCGTTTAACAATCTTGCCTTTTACGCGGAGAATCTGCTAGGATGCATACTCCTTACCTTAGATTTAACTTTCAAGGCTCCAGTCTAAAACTCTGCTGTCTTAGCTTGTTTTCTAGCCTACTAAGTTCTTCCTAGACACATCTTGTTGCGAGCTAACCAGGGGGTGTTAGACAGGTATTAGGTGACAGTACTAACAGAATAAGCGACAGCATATTTAACAGTGCAGTTTTCGGCATTAGAATCTGATGCGGTAGAAGAACGAGAGCTACAGAATCAATAAACGCTGGACCTGTCAGTTTACAGGCGTCGTGAAAGCGAACTGAGAACCTGAAAGAAAAGGTGTCCTGTAACACTGTGTGTCCTGGCACCTAGGGGTCGACATTACACTTGACAGTAGTGCTTTACGCACACAACGTACCTAGAGCAGTGTGGTAGAGCGGAGCCGCAAACTCACAAGTCCCTCTCTTCACGCGTCCATAGTATCCCACGGGAGGTCAGGGACCGGGGGCAACGCAGCAACGTTAGTTTATACTACTACTACCCTCAAATCTCAAACCAGCTCCACACGTCTCTCTCTCTTCTAGTAACCTCGTACGTAATGACGACCCGCAGTGTGTGTGCTGGGACGAGTTGGCGGGGTGTCTTTGCTTTAATTGCTGCTACAAGACACGAAAGAGAATGGGGAGGCGGAATGTACAGAGTGAGTGGGCGTGTACTGCCCGTATGATTGATTAGACGACGACAAGGATGATGGGAGCGACGACGAGGGCGGTTTATTCAAGAAGTCTTAGCGCGAAGGTTTGAATCCAGCCTAGACATACGCAGAGGCGTAACAGTGTCCCGACCCCTGAAACCACCGCTCGTGCGGTCGAGCTGCTGGATCGTGTGGTCGGAGAATTTGAGAAGCCGGTTGGGACACGAGTCGAATCCGTGAGGAATTGCACCTGAATTCCAGTCTGCATGCCATTTAGCCCAAGTACGGAGGATATGCTCGGATTTTCAGAGATCTCGCAGACAAGCATATGGCAGGTATGGTAAGGAGCGGCAGCGATGTAGTATTGTGTGTCATACTGGTACTTGAACATCAAATAAGATTTGGCGGAAGCTGTTTTATACCGGATGACGTTACCTATGACTTTCCAAAGCCGCGATCGAGTAGAGAAAAAGTGAGGATTTATAGACTCAGTCAGTAACTACCTGCAGACTTTTCTCATTTCTCAAGGTACAGTCAAAAATTCTGTCATTGGAAAGATGAAGTAATCTATGTCTGATTGAACGCTGACTCCAATAACGAATCGCTAAACCCATTACTAAATTTAAAGGCAAATACATGTGCCTACAAATCATCGTACTCATCGTAGTTCTCATCGAGCTCCACGCTCCGTGAAGCTTTGTCGACGAACCTCTCCTGCACAACGACATTCTCCACAGCCGCTTGGGCCATCTTAGCGACCCGCCCCACGACAAATGCAGCCTCGGCCTGCGAGGGCTCGAAAATTACCCCAGTCCTGAGCGCGGTATTAGTTTCTAGTACAGTCATCTCGACAAAAGGATTGGTCAGAGTCTAAGCGACGATATCAGACACGGGCTGAGTGGCCACTGGGGCGACCGTAAACTTAGCGTCACCCTCCAGTTTCTGAACGATCTGAGCCTGCTCCACGACGTGAGCGGTGGTAGATTCAACGCCGTAGGAAGGCGAATCAATTAAGGCCCGAGCGGATGCGCTCAGATAGGATGCCGTTTGAGTATTCTCGGCTTCGTGTTCGGGTGCAACCTCGGTGTTTCACTCATCGCCTTCGGGAAGAAGAAGCTGGTCAGCCATCGTGAGTGCGGGCTCCACTGACTGTACAGCGTCGGCCTTTGAATTCCGTCCGTGGTGATACTATTCGATGTAACATCGGCACGAGCGGTCATGAAAGCTTCCTGCTCTTTAGTAAAGCCGCTCACCTGGCCTCTACGAAACCTTGGCAGCTTCTTAACACCGGCAGCCTCGCTCATTTTTCCGGTTGGCTTCTCTACCGCACTGGTCTTGTGCTTGCGAGGCTTTGATCCCTCGTTTCCACCTGTTTCGGCGCCCTTTTTAGCGTCCCTGGATGTCTGTGCGGCAGACTTCTTCGCAGCCTTCTCATTATTTTTCTTCTCTTGAGTCCATGTTGCGTACAGATCTTCGAGGGGAATATCTTTCTTAGTGACCGGGGTGTCCTTTGTGGCAACAAGCACTGGTGCTTGGCCTAGGTTGTAAGTCGCCTTGTAAATGCGATACTCATGCTGGATGCTCTCTGCAAACCGCCCAATCGGATATGCACCCCTTTTCTGCCTCTCTGAAGGACAAACGCGGTAGTTAAAGATCTTGGCTGCTGACAACAAAGAGATGTCGGGTTTTTCGCGAAAGATAGTGGCCAGTTGTTCGCGCTCGTCGTTGGACCAAGGCTCTTCATGGGAGTTTTTCTTAATCTGATACTGTATGGCTTTGTTTGCTACATTCAACGCGCTTGGATTAGTCCAGTATGGCATTCCGTGGTGGCAAATGTACGTTATTGGGTCACGTTTGGGCTCTTGCTCGTTGGGCTTGGAGCCCTTGGTCCGCAGGTTCATCAGCTGGATGAAAAGATAATTCACCTGATCGTATCCTTCAATGAACCGGTCACCGTGCTTGACAAGAATGGCGCCCTTCAGGTCTTGCCACAAGGGCGGCAGGACAGCACCGTTGCTTTCGTGGGCCGAGGGCCGGTCAACGTTAGGTGCTTCGCTATTCGGTCGCGGGATTATACCCCGGTGCCGCTCGCATTCAGGAATGGGCTGCTCGGCTATCGCAGGTCTCCATGGGGTAAAGCCTTTGCTAGCTCTCGAAGGTTCCTTCTTCGCTTTCTGCCCGACCTCATCCGCGTATTTTGACTCGGCTGGCGAAGCGGTCGATTCGGCCATGTGAGTGCATGCATACAGAGAATCTAGAGCTTCGGGCTGGGGGCTCTGTGTTCCGGGAACGCTTTCGTCCGCAGTGTGCTCTTGCTGGGGTTCCTGAGCAATGGGTATCGTCTCAGCCTCGTCCAACTTCGGCTTCTTGGCTTAATGGTGCTCTCCGATAGGAGAGGAGGATGCTGAACGTTTCGACATGACTTCGACTGTGCTATGGAGGCTTTTGTGCCAAACCGAGTGAGGATTGTCTTTCAGCAGACCGAGATTGACATCATGTCGGAGAAGCTGCGTGACTGTAACCTGACGATCATCGCAGTGACTGGCTCTGCAACATTATAAGCAGTCCGCGTAGACGAAAGGCGCAAGTTTCAACTAACGTTTCCGCTTTGCGGACAAAGACACAGCTCCCTCCAGAATTTGCAACTTGATGAGAATATCAGGTCAGAGATTGCGGTCACCCAGCTGGCACTGCAGAGACGGTAACTATGACAGGCGACGAAGCCTTGAGGCTGAGGAGTATGTTGGAGGAGCTGGAAAAGTCGACCAGCATTGACACACGCATTGACGGCGAGACCTATGTTGGGCTGGTGAGGCGACTTGACGAAGATGGAAAGGCGACTGAGGCGACGAAGACAATGCTGATTGAGCTGGCGTCGAGCTTTACGGAAGGGACCGCTGATGGAGCACCAGCAACGTCTCAGGATCATTCAGGCCAGACCACATTTGGCGCTTACAACTCTGATATCCAGTCTCGAGTGATCAGTGGCGGGGTGCATGGCGCGCAATTTGGGGCCAGGTGAGTGAGTAGACAATCGCGGTACAACAGGAGCTCGAGAATCGATTTGGGGTGCCTCTTTCTGCGTAGTTCGTTGAAGCTGTTGACGTAACTGCTTTACTGAGAGTACAGTGCTCACGGCGTGCTCACATCGTAACTTCCAAAGCTCTTTACCTTACCCTTTTTGTCCAGGCAACATGCCACAGCCATTCGATGAAGTGAGCAAGTTTTTCCGCGTCGCTAGTTAACATATTGGAAGAGAAACCAATACGCGCTCGTCCATTTGCGCTGACCTTGGAGGAGACCCACGAAGCCGCTCTGCCGGAAACGAAAATCTTTTAACGCGCTTGCAACGCTCGTCTAGCCGGCCATGAACAGATCGTGCTCGGACACCAAGATGGACAGGAGGTACACTGCAACCTCCTTAACGGCTCTAGATGGCAGATGCTTGTCATGCTGATTGCGTCAACTCTCAGGGCAGAATGCGTCCAACATGGTACACATCCTTCTTCGTCGCGCACAAGAAACATGCTCGTAATGGCAGCCTAGATTTGGCGCTGCCCCTGGCTCGCAGTTCTTGGCCTGACCCGATCCAATCGTTGTTCGACGCTAGTCTGCATGTCGATAATGCGGTGCTGGGAATTCCTATTGTTTCTGCCATGAGCAACTTTCAATTTTCCTGCAAAGGGCAGTCGTGATCATGCGACGCGACTTTTCATCGCGCTCCTCTTACAGCCCAGCCCCTCTCTCATCGCAACTCTCGGGAAACATAGCCTACTTTAATATTGTTAGTCACAGCCGTCCTATCAAATTTGAAGCCGGCCGCGCAGTTGAGCCGTGTAAGGTTTGTGGTGTGGTGTTCTCGACTTCAAAAGCGCTTGCCCACGGATGATGGCACCCGAGTGGTTATCTCGACCTCGGCCGCTTCGGGCTATCCCGGCCAAGTGACGTCTGGAACCGATGCTTGCCAGCACCACAAATGAGTATATGTCATGGGCTTCCCCACACGCGGGGCTTTTAAACCCGCTGTCAGGTTGTTTTGAGGTTGACATTCCTGGTTCGGCGACTTGCACCCGAAGACGATTACAGATTGAACGATACAGTCGCACACTTAAGATGCCGACACCGCCGTTTTCGCAGGATCGCCGAGACTGGCTCAGCGAGGTTTCTGGATTGTTCGCTAGCAAGAAGAGGCCAATTGCAAAGAATCAACTGAAAAGCACAAACTCGCTTCCGCTCACAACTTCGTCCTTGGGCTCGTTTCGGTCTACCTCGACTTACTCGATCATTGGCAAATTGCGGAATTGAAGAACCCTACGCGCCAAACCATCGAGTGATCAAGATGGCACCTCAGAAGATCAAGCAATGGAAGTCAGGCCAGAACGGCTTGGACAAGCTGTACATGGAAGAAGCGGAAATCCCAACGCCCGGCGAGGATGAAGTGCTCGTTGAGATCCGTTCCGTCTCCTTGAACTACAGAGACACAGAGGGTGAGTAGACAGATATAAGTGTTTGCGCGAGCAAGCTCTGACAACACTCAGTATGCATGGGCCTATACAACCACCACAAGCATGTCAAGCAGCCCCCGGCCGTAGTCCCCGGCAGCGACATGTGCGGCATCGTCGTCGCAGTCGGCCCCTCGTCAAACACCAGTGACCCCTACAAATCCCCCGATTTCGTCCTCAAAGAAGGCGACCGCGTTGTGTCGACTTTTGCGCAAACCCACATCACCGGCCAAGTGCAAGCGCGTGACCTGACCAACGGCCTCGGCAGTCCACTCCCCGGCGTCCTCACACAATACCGCATCTTCCCTACACACGGCCTGCTGAAGGTGCCTAAGTATCTCTCCTTCGACGAAGCGGCGTGCTTGCCTATTGCGGCGGTCACGGCATGGATGAGTCTGAACTGTATGCGTCCCAACGGCGACATAATCGGTGTCGGCGAGACAGTCGTGTGCCAGGGCACAGGAGGAGTTTCGATTTCCGCTGCACAGATTGCCAGCGCGGCGGGCGCAGATGTCATCGTGACGTCCTCGTCTGACGAGAAGCTGGAGAAGGCGAAGCAGCTCGGCGCAAAGCAGGTCATCAACTACCGCAACACACCTGAGTGGGACGATGAAGTTTTGAGGTTGACGAGCGACCGCGGCGCAGATGTCGTCATTGAAGTTGGCGGTGCGCAGACATTGCGAAAGTCTTTCGAGGCCGTGCGTTTCGGCGGATTGATTGCGTGTATCGGCTATCTGTCCGGCAAGCAGGATGCGGAGGGTGATAGGACGAACACCAATTTGCTGTGCTTGAAGAGGAATGTCACGCTCAAGGGCATCATTAATGGTCCTAGGGACGAGTTTGCACGCATGCTGAAGTTCTATGAGGACAAACAGATTCATCCTGTTGTTGACAAGGTGTTTAAGTTTGATGAGGCGGACAAGGCCCTGCAGTATCTGTTTACGGGTGGCCACTTTGGAAAGGTTGTTGTCATGGTCAAGGAGGAGTGAATATGGTGCTAGTCAACAGGCAGCTTCAACATTATCAATACGAACATTGTGATAATTCGTTACACATGACGCGCTAGCAAAGAGCCGTGCTTCCTCAGTTTTTGTACTCATCTGGCACATACGGCCACTCATTCGTCCCGTCCAATATGATCACCGCCATACCCCCATTCAAATGACTCTGGATATGACAATGCAACAGCCAAGCACCAGGATTCTCGACCTTATACCTGACCGCCAGCCATGTCGGCTTATCAGCAGATGGTGGCGTGACGAATCCATCCCTGTAGCTCGGGTTCACCAGATTGAACGATTCAGGTTGAGCAGTAGCAGCTTCGGCTACCGTACGTCCAGGGAATGGGCCGGTGCCTGCACCAAGAATGAACGCTTTGTTGCCGTGCTTGTGGATGGGGTGGGGTGGCTGCTGCAGATTTGGAACGAGGAAGACGAGATCGACCCACGTGTTGTTCTGCGTCACAATGGTAATGTTGTTGTCTCCGCTCTCGAGAATTGGGAGGGAGTACAGAACTGGTGCTGCGTTGTCCAGAATCACGGGCGAAAATGGAGTAGCGTTGAGCGCCCAGGTGTAGCTGTTGCCAACGTTGCCAGTCGTAAGGAAGAAGGTCTGCGCTGGCTTGGGTGCGGGCTGAGGGAACTGAGGTGGGAACGGCGTGGTACTTGCATGGTCTAGCACAGTTACGTTGGCAGAAATCGGATTTCCGGCACGGTCAGTGTAAGGTGTTGACGTGAGTTGCAAGCCGGTGGAGTTGGTGTATGGTCCGTGAGAGATTTCGTACTCATCATGGCCTTTAGAATAGGAGAAGACAGCCATGGTGTCGATGAGTTGGGCGAGAGCGAGGGATGCGATGCGAATACCGAATTCGTTCTTTTCGCCAGGATTGGTAAGCTCAACGAATACAGAGTAGCGATCTCCATTCGCGACCGTGAGGACGTCGATCTTGACGGGTTCGATGTAGTGCCCGTCTACGACAAAGACCCACAGCGGGTGTTCGTCAATGCTGAACGCGAAAGTATCGATGCCGGCTGAGGAAATGACATTGAGTGCAAGCCATTTCCTGTCATGTGGGACTTTGATGATTTCACGACTACCCTGAGTTGGCGTGCACACTTCGAAGACAGACTGTGGCAGAGCTGAAGGATTCAGCACTGAGTTGTTACCGAGAAGAATCTGGAAGAGAGCTGGTGGGAAGCAGCCCTTATCAGTCATTTCAAGACCTCCTAGTGTCAGCACTGGCGCGATACCGGGACTGGTGAATTTTGTTATTTCTTCTCGTGACCAGCAGTCTACAGCACCTTTGCCGTTGACGAGTAGCGAGTCCATACAGATAGCGCTCTCAAGACCAGACGCTAGCTGATCTGCCCACGTTTCTTCTGACGTTCGGTGGCGCCAGTCAGAGAGCAAGAGAGGAGCTGCACTGGCTTCAGCTTCTTCAAGTAATTCGACCTGTGCAGGGGCGATCTTATCGAAGGGCTTCGATAAACCAGCTTTGGGCTCGATGATGATAGGGCCATACGCGCCATCGTCAATCTGACCTCGACTGTGTGCGTGATAGAAGTAGCTGCCGTGTTGGTCGGCATGCCAATTGTACTTGAATGATTTCCCAGGTTGAATTTGTCGTTGTGTAAGCCCCGGAACACCGTCCGCCCAGGGCGTATTCGTTTGATGGATACCTAAGTGAGTCAGCTATGCACATCATTCTGACATTGTGGAAGACGTACCATGGAAATGAATACTTGAGTTGAATGACATGCTATTCACAACCTCGATCTCTATCCAATCATCTTGCTGTAACTCTAGGAGGGGGCCCGGGTATTGGCCATTGATGAAGATCATGTCCCTTGTGTAGCCATCTGGAGATCCGGGTCCCCAGGTGAGCTCAAGCTTGAAGTGACCGTGACCAGCAAGAGCTACAGCTGCAAGGGAAAGACACAAGGTAAAAACTGACAGCATCGTAGCGAGATTCTACACAGCAGTGTAACAGAAGAGAACAGCGCATGAGCACGGATGAGTTGCTTGTGCACAGCTCCCTCACGCTGACGGACGCCGTGCTTCTTGTACTTTGGCATCGCAACTACAGCCTCAGACCAAACAAATTATAGTAGTACCCATCACTCGTGGTCACGCTCCCTTGTCTGAAGCTGACGCGTGTCATATCGAAACAGGCGCCGGTGATCCTCCACCAAGAGACTCGGCGTAAGGCTTGCGGCGTTGGAGCGAAGCCAGGCCTAATGTGAGGCCAGACATGCTGCATTGTGCTGATTTGGTAACACTATGTTGCCGTTGGCTGAAGTGCCGGGCTAGGTAAGCACTACCTCGGAACAGAAGCGCGTCTGGAAAATTAGAGTCAGCAGCTTCATGCCGGGCACTCGACCATTTCCTGTATTCTTGTTCAAGCTGATGACAGCTGCATGACGCACGTAAGAGTCCTGCTGTAAGTACATAGGGCTGTGGAGAACGCCATAAGGCTGAGGGTCTCAGCAAGGCCACCTGCCAGCACAACGAACAAAGTTGCATCAATGTCGAATGACAAGGCCTATCAAATCGTGATGATGAATGGTTTTGGGCGTGACCAAGGTGTCTTCACCGCTCTGAGTAGGTAGATGAGGAAGCATGCTACAAACGCGAAAGGTGGAAATGGATTTATCGCCACGCTAGGTACTGTACCTACTTACCGGTAGGTACCGGTAAATAGCGATTTTTTGCTTTCTCATCACGACATCCATCAGCATGCTACCAAAGCGCCGTCAGTAACACCAGCTTTCCTTCCAATGAGCAGGTGCAAAAATTGCTTGATGCCGTACACCGTCTTTCTTCTGAGGTGTCATCAAGGATGACGCGCTCGCTGACGCTCAGCCGAAGTCGGGCCCGTGCTGCCAAGCAATCGAAGACACAGTCGAGCATGTGTCACGCATCAGCACCACTTCGACATGAATATCGTCACGGGACGAGTGGCTCTACTCGTTGGCATCGCTCTGTCCATCTCTTGTCGACGTTTGGCAGAACACTACGTAGGTGAGGAGAGCGGACAGGAGCTAACGTTGACCGTAACGGGGCATCGAAAAGCTACCTTAGATGAAATACAGACGCCCTTCTTTGCTTGTGACAAGCCCAGTAACTCGATGCATGGATTCATTACAGCATTAATGTTACAAAGAGGCTGGGCCGGCATCTGGTAACCCAGATTGTTGAGTGGCGCCCATCCTTCGAATCCGCAACGACATTCTGCACGGTCAGCTTGCAAAGTGACCATTCTTCTAGCCTGGCTTCTTACTGACTATGTCCGTGATAGTTCGACACTTGAAGTAGTACACGGAGTCCTGTACCACATTTCAACTATCGATACCTGAAACCCGACGTCGTCGACCTCTTGCGGCACTCCACAATGCGGTGTCCCCAGATCATGCATGCATCTGGCTCACTAAGTCCAGTAAATATCATTTATAGATAAAAAGTGGCAAAATGAAGAAACTACACTTACGCCCCTGAATAGGCTACTTATACAAGGCTTATTCTCTGCGGCAGATTCCAATTAGTTATTGCCTATGAGGTTGGTTCACTCTGATAGCGTGACAACCAATGAGGGTGTTCCGATGCACACTGCATATTTATGAGACATTGCAACGCGGGTTGAGCCAAACACATACGTAGAGAGCAACAACAGCTCAAACAAAAGGGAACAATTTATTGAAGTACGTTGTAGACGGCCAATCATATTCTCGCCATAGACAGACTCCTTGATTTAAGTCATTCTTTCAATTTCTTTGACTATGGACATTGTAGTGTTGAGACGTGACGGTCCTTTCGTCAGCGTATTATATGCCTCGAAGCAGTGATCGTGATCGATCAGAGCCCTAAGGGCACTATTGTACTTCTCTACCCAGCCTAGATCATCTGGGACCACGTCTAACTCCGGCTTGGAAAATCATCCATCGTGCAAGGTGATTATTCGTGCCTACCTCAGGCTTACTGAAGATAACGTTCATCTCCCACGGCAAACCACCATCCCTTGTCCATGCGTGAGAGTGAGTCTCGGTCGGGATCTCAGCCCAGTGCTTCTATAGTCGATCTATAGGTATCATACATTTATCTGGATCTTGCCAGATGTAGAAATGGGTAATTCCCGTTATCGTAACGTCTGTGTTGTAATTCAGTTGTCTTAGCTATTCTTGAAATGCGTAGGTGATGTAAAAGTCGAAACATTGCCGTCGGGATTTCTCTTGAACCTGATGTTGATCGATTACCTTATCACATGGCAAGTGTACAGGACATTGTGTTTGTGAGATAGGCAAGCACTGGAGCATTAAGTGTAGGCCCACCGGAGTTGATCCTAGCCACGACTTCCCCGAGCTATGAGCGCCGAGCTCCGGAGTATTGCTACTTTGCTTTCGCTTATCCAATATTGACGATGCATTCATCGTCAGCACCGTCGACATGTTTGTGAAGCATCAAGCAGATTTCCACCTGCGCAAAGGCCTGGCTGGCCAGAAGTGGTGGCGCACCAATTTTGCCCGCAGCGATCGGCATCTTGGGCGTCAACTTGCGATTAGAGACAACAAGAGACTATTCTGTTACAACAAACGGTATGTCTGTTCCCTGGACAACAATGAATTGAGCTAATGAGGTCCTTGGCGTACTTCATTTCGATCAGGTCACTGGGGGTGCAATCAACCAGCCGACGGGTCCGATCGGTAGAGCATTAGGTCTTAGTATCACCACTGCACTGCGAATTGATGCCATGGAAAAGCATCAAAGCAACGATCACGCAGACTCTAATTTTATTGAATGGCGGCTACCTGGTACAACTCTTGACTATGGATTTTCTGGCAGTGGATATGTGTGTCACTTTAAAGGGTTGGGCAATGTCGGCAAGATTAAGCACGGGGTCAGTGAGGAAGAAGTGGTAGTTCGTTTCCTGCAATAAGCAAGCGTTGTCTTGAATATGTCTTTAGCGTATCGTCTTTCTAAATAGAGAAGTCCTACTCCAACTACTTCCTAGGTCCACTAGCAAAGATCAGGAGCTTAGGATGATGGCCAGTCATCGGATTTCCCCTTCTCTGCCGCATCAGCGACCATAACGTCGCCACCGGTTCCATTACTATCCACCTCGTCGGTTTCTATAACCTCCTCAGACACATCTGCGATCTCGATTGCTTGCACGGGTTATATCTCACTATGTGGGAAAATTTCCCCCCACCGATCTGCTCTCGCATCTTGTAGACTCGTTGTTTAAATTGCCTTATAAGAGGGTCACGGGATATTTGAACATCCACGGCGCCAACAGACCGTAACGTACTTGTATCATGTTTCTGATAGTCGCTGTTAATGCTGTCCGTTATTGTTGCGATGCAAGTCGGTCCGACAGGCCTCGATCGTCACCTCCGTTGACTACCTTGGACTAGCACGTCTCAGGGCATGTATATATGGTCGCCTCCTAGCTAGCAAGCAACTCAGCGCAGTTTTCCATCGATATACAGCGGCTACGTTTGCAGCAACAGTTATACGTGAGACAAAGTCTCTGAAACTCTGGCCCTTCGGCGGAAACTCTTGCACGCCATGGTCCCTGCACCGCTTGTTGATGATGCCATATATTTTGCTTTTCTCTGTGTTGGACCACGGCGATCTCTTGATACTTGGCTCGTACATGGAGTTGTGGTCCCTGTTGAACGATCGCAGTTTTCTGTTGTACCAAGTTCTTCAGTGACGATCGTTGGGATTGACTGGGATCTAAGTCTCAGCCGGCTATTCAGACCGTGCTTTATATCTATTAATATCGGTGCGAAAAACTCGAAAGCGGGCCTTGAACGTCCAGACTTCTTCGTCCCTTTTCCATGAGTGCCAATCCTGACTCGATCTGATCCATTTCTTGCCTTCGACTGGATTCGGGACGACATGGTCATCCGCGTTAAGGTGAACGTATGTTGCATCATCCTCAGTGGCCGATCTCGGTCTATAATCGGGCATCATATCGACCTGTAAGTATGGGTTCTGCCAATTGAACAGTTTTATATTGAAGCGAGCCTCCGTGGTGTTGCTTTTAGTTACGGAGAAGATCTCGTTGTCGTCTTTTGGCAAATGTACGCCCTCATCCGAGTCTGCATCAATCGTAGATCTGGGCATATTGAAGACGGTATCATCTCCTTCTAGAGAGATCGCCGCCCTTATTCTCGTACTCCGTCGCGTAGCCAATTTAGCAGTGGGAGCAAGAGCACTTTGACCCTTCCTGGATGCTTGATGCCGCTCACTCACAGCGGTTCTAGCAATCTCTCGAGAGTCTGATGGCAGCACTGAATACTGTTGCTCGACCATTGCATTGAGGATCTGCTGAAGTTTCTCATTGCCATCATCGAACGGAACTTCGTACGCGTATCCGCTGGGTGTCATCTGCTGCTTCCCGTAGTCTTCCAGGCTCTTTTTGGTGATGCTAAGATATAGGATCTCGAATTTGTCGCGGATTTCAAGCTTTCTCAACTACTTTTGCTTTAGAGCCCACATGAGAGCAGGAACATAATTGTTTCGAAACACCACTACCTCTTTGTGCGTGCGCTGTCCCCGGAAAACTGGGTATGTACGGAAATGAGAGCTGAACCGAAGATAGAGCGTAGCTTCGTTCAACCAAACCATAGTATTGGATTGAAGCCTGGTAGCGGCGAGAAGCAGCTGGTGGTGGATCTGTAGCCATAACCGCTCTTCATTATGTAAGACTCAGCGTTGCCAACTGGAGGTAGTACTGGAATCTACGGCTACGGTGTACTGCAGTAGGCAACAGTAAGCAGCGGTAATTATATTGAGCCGCAGCCATACAGGAAGTAGCTGTAGATTGAGGCGTAGTACGGCAGTACTACGCCGAAATTTAGTGTTTATTTTAAAGTACAATTATTAGGGTTCTAAAGCTAGGAATAGAGCCTGTTAGCTCTATTGTGTTAATACCTACCTTTATAGCAGTAATGATAGCATTTCTTTGTACATTTACAAGTTCAAATCACACTCTAAGCACTTTCTAATTATCTTTGCCTTTTAGCTTTGTCACGAGCACAGCAATAGTGCAGCACTACGCCAATCACGGCTATCTACGCCTACTGTCCGTATGCCATACATTCTACGTAGGTTTCGGGACGCTATGGTTGCCTATAATTGCCGTAGGTTACGGCAATTGACCCTTACCGTAGCCGTATACGTCCCGTTGGCAACGCTGTAAAGGCTCCGACATCGTTCAATGAGGAGGAAACACAATGCGATTTTCTTATGGGAGATTAGATCGCGATATCTTATGGTTTCTTTCGTTTCGATCGTTGTTCATTTGCTCAAGCGCTTCTCATGTTGAGCATGACCTAAGACACCTACCCACGACAATGCCACAAGACTCTCAATCATTGTCGACGACTGTTAGTAGGCTACGCAAGAGATTGCGAGCAATCATCTTCCCACATCGACATATTCTGACATGACGCGATATGTGTCACAAGCCACACACGGGAAAAATGAGCCACTGAATCAAAATCGGACAGGCTGTTGTTGATCAATTGTATGCTACATCTTGTTCGCGGCATGTATCTTTGCATTCAACATCATCTCGATTTCCTCCCTAGTGGAACAATCTCTTAACATTCCAAGGACCTTTCGCTCCATCCAGCCATCTACGTCTCCGTGCTTGTCTCTGATCCTTGCAATCATCTCCCTCGTCTTGTACCTTCGGTAGGATTTAAGCATTCAAATTCTCTCGCGATATTCATGAATAATCTCGTCTTTGCTGAGCTTATACTTTGATAACAGCACCTCGATGTCGAAAACCCTCCACTGTCGAACATCGTCAAGCTGTTCAACGCTAGGTTTCGGCTTGTGAATTTGGTATTCGCCGAATTCCGTCGCAAGATAGGTGAGCAGAGTCTTGGCATCGTCAGACATGATTTTGAGTCGGCGCAATGATGGTTGTGGGTATGGTAGAGAAGTCAGAGATGTTGAAGAATGGAGAGTAACCTTCAAAAGAGGCTTTGCTGTTTGTTTGCGGTTTGTCACTAGCAAAAGGGACCATCAGGAGTAATGTATACTCTATCTTGTGATCCACCGAGGAAACAATACGAGACCTTTACACATGATCGTTGGTAAATTGACAATCATGTCTTTCACAATTTCGCCTTCTCCTCCTCGAAGTCTCTCAACTCCCTTCTATTGACATTGCGGGGGCTGTTGCCGAATTCTTTCGCTCCTCTTTGCTTCAGCTCTTTTTCGCTCTTCCACTTCCACGCTCGATCCTTCTCGTCGCCGTTGCTCTCTCCATTCAGTACATTCAATAGGTACTTTCCTGCGTTTGGCATAAACTTATACGAGTGGAAGCTACCGCCGACCGCAACGTACATGTTGCCCAATCGGCCATCAGGGTGCCGTGACAGCACCCAGTCTTCAGTCGGTGTGACCGCGTCGTAGCACATGCGCCACCGGTCCGGGCTTCGGTTCTTAGTCCACTCCGGCATGTTGTTCTTGATGACTTTTTCGCTTTCCTGAACGAGCTTCACGGGGACTTCCATCTGGTTTCTCTTACTTGGCGCGGTGATTCGACGGCCGGATGCAGTTGTAACAGTGTTGGTGAACTCAGTCTTAATGTCATTGACCTTGAGGGAAGGTAAGTGGTGGTAAGGTGGGATGATGTCGACCTCGCCACCGAATACCACGATGGGTAGCTTGGTATCCATCATATGTCTTGTTTCTTCCTCACCGAGATCGTAGTATGCTGACAGTCGTCCGACTGCTGTGACTTGGCGTTCGACTTGATCAACGGCCGCGATCTTGAGTCTGTCCTCGAGTGGCGACAGCAAGCTGCTCGTCCAGGCACCAGCTGCAATGACAACCTGATCTACTTTTAATATTGTTCCGTCCTGCAGCCTCGCACCAGCTAGCCCCTTGCCATCGTCTCGAAGTAGTAGCTCTTCGACTTCGCCTGTGATTCGCTTGACGCCCCGACTTTCCGCGATCCTTAAGTATGCCTTGGTTGCGCTTGCCGCATCGACCCAGCCCGCTTCAGGGTTGAAGTAACCTTTCCCGAGCTTGTTACTGTCGAGTCCGCTCAGAACATCATGCTCCTTGATCAAGTCTTTCGCATTGACTTCCTTGATTACATTCGATCCTCTCTCTTCGAATGTTTTGCGCACGCCTGATCTGAACTCTTCACTCTGGTCTGGTCCGTCAAAGACTGTCCAACCTGCTTTGTGGAAATGTCCCTGCACCTCCATGCCCCAGAACCAGAAATGGATAGCTTCATTGGCGAGGTTGCAGTACAAAGGTGAGGTATAATCGGTACGGATAATGCGGTTGATGTCGATTGCTGCGGCATTCTTGTCCTGCACACGTCCATCTGGTGACCAGCGGTCAACTATAGTGATTTTCGATGCATCGCTGTAGGCTTTCGACGCGTGCACGGCAAGTGATGTGCCGAATGTACCCGCGCCAATGATCAGCAAACTCGGTCCCTGCTCTTGCTGTACCATTGTAGTGCTTGCGGCCTCACTAATGCGTCACACCGTCCGGCTGGATTTTTGGGAGCGCATCTGGAGATATTGCAGTTGATATGTTGCTGATTCCCTCGGGAAGCCCCTCGTCATGGTGCGGATCCGGCGTGCAGGGGCGATCGATCGTCGAGCCACTTCGAAGCTGCGGAGATCGCTCCGTGACTCATGAACTGAGAAAGTGCGAGGGGTCGCGCAATTGACGGTCTTGACATGGGCATCTTCCTACAGACCCCAGGTTTCTATTTCCTTCGCTCTGATCCCTTGAAAGTCCATCCTATTCTTTGCACCCTCTGCTCTAGTGAGATCAGATTCCTACTGCGTTGTTGAGCCGATGAAGACGAGTACATCACGTTATGCGGCGCTCGCAGCGAACGTTCCATGTCGCCTCGCCTGATTGATAATCGCCATGGTACCCGCGAAAGCAGGCTGAATCCCATCAATAACCCTATCGCACCATATGTTGCCCTCTTCGTCTTCTTGGGCGACAGTTCGTACATGGCCAGTATCGGGGTAACAAGAAGCAGTACCGGGGTAACCGCGATCAGTACATCAGCCGTCTTCTTGATACGAGATGGCGAAAAGTAGTGGATCGAGGGATCCGACGCTTTACCATCTACCTCCTCGGAGCAAAGATCCACTACTGGAGATTTCAGTGAAGGCGCGCATGTCGAGAACGCGCAGACGCTTACTCTCACCAAGTCGCGAAGCTGAGTTAAGTCAAATTTCTTTAGTCGGTTGCTAATGGCGCCTTCGAAAATTGTTCCTTCTCCTCCACGTCCCAGGGACCAGACACGATCTTTGCACAGGATGTACTTTTCGTCAGGAGAGACTAAAGGCATGTTGTGTTTTATCCACGCACGCACGTATTTGTAGTCTCGACTCGACTCGTTGGAAACCATTCACAATTGCGCAGAGGCTCGGCGTTAGCTGGAGGCTGAGTAAGAGTCCTCGCCCAATGAAAGCAATTTTCGACACAAGTAAATCCTGCGGGTGAGTGCCTGGACTTGATTGGCATATTTGTTTTCTTCTTCAAACATCAAACGTTTTGATGGTTTAACCCTCCACGAGTGCCGTGCTGTAAGTGTCCAAAGTCCACTCTTCGCCAATAATGCCGAGGGACTATTCTTCCAACCGACTCGCCAATTATTGCTGTCAATCCTGGTGCTCATGGCACTTCCCATTTCCACGCTGTACATCATTACGAAGAAAAGGAAGTCCGCGGCGCTGGACGCGATGAGTGTCCTCCCAAGATGCTCTGCGCTGCTCGCAAGCGTCGTATCTTCGTTGACCGCGGCTCACAGACGTGAGCTGCTGACGCTTGCAGCTGTGTACCGCGCGCAGTGTTATGCGCCATGATACAGATGGCCATCTCGTTACAACCAGGTGCTATTTGTCAATCGGCCGTAGTTCGTAGCACGAGCCGTCACGTACGAAGTGAAAAGGGCACAAGGTTCATGAATGATATGATATACACTCTGTGTGATCGGAAAATGTAACATGCGTTGGTATCGCGCCGCTCATGCAAGTATAATCAAATGCATCGACTCGTCCTCCTGAACGGTCCTGTTAACAACAAACGCCTTGCTAAATGCACCAATGCATGTTTAAGTGTAGGATATAGCGGAGCAGGTGAAAGCGCTGCGGACATTACCGCTAGTGTACTGGTGGATGATATCCTCAACCGAGGCGTATGTACCAGCACCCAGGATGACAATACCCATGATGAACACACCGCCATTGAGAAGAGACAGCATGATATTCTTCGTGCTAGAGAAGCAGCCGCCCTCGCGAACAAGCTGGAACCAGAACAGCGCAGGGAAGTAGAAGGTGAAACCCGAGATGAACAAGGAGGAGATGAGACCGAGGAGCGCGTTGAAGAATGGGATTGCCTCAGCGATGATCCAGCCGACGATGGTGATGATAGTGATTAGACAGATCCAGACGGCCCAGCCACGAAGGCCCTTAACGTAGCGGATGGGTGAGTTAGGGAACGCGCGGTCCATGATGTACCTGCCGACAACAGTTCCGTTGATCGATCCGGAGATGAAGATGACGGGGAGGGCGATGCCGAAGGCGATGCGCGAGACGGTGTCGCCGGCCGATAGGAGGGCAGGAGACTTGACGTCAACACCAACAAAGGCGTAGATGAGAGCTCCGGTGATAGTGTAGATGAAGATCTCAATCAGACCAAGAGCCCAGATAGACTTGACGTAGTCGGTGGGGGTATGCATCTCAGACATAAACGAGAACTGGCACACAGCGAAAGAGTAAGCAAAGATGATGTTGGTAGTTGCCAGAAATGCCTCGTAGAAGGTGGTGCCAGGCGGAGGCATTGCGGACCAGGGAACTGCAGCAAGACCACCGGGTGCGTTATGCGCCTGGACACCAGTCGCAATGATGGTGACCATGATGGCGACGATGATACTGACGAAATCAATGTACCCGAGGATAGCGAATTCGGCAAAGGAAGGAGGAAGAGCGAGGAGCAGTAGAATGATCAGAGAGACCACGCTCCAGGCCAGCGCGCAGATTTGGTAGTTGCCGATGATGTTGATGAACGCAATCGTGCCGGTCAGAGCGTGGGATCCGACAAGCAGGATTAAGAATAGCGCGAACATGACACCGACCAGTTCGTATCCGAAGCGACCCCAGATGAGCTGCACAGCGTCTGAGTAATGATTGACGTGCGGGTACCGCATCTTGACCTGACCGACGACGTATGACGTATAGATGGCAATTAAGCCAAGACCAAGGCACATGATGACACCGGCGACCATACCTAGCTTCGCGAACGCGCTGGGGATACTGAGGGAGCCAAGGGCAATGGCTTCGACAATCAAGCAGATGGTGAGACGCTTCCATCCCAGGCGGTTGAATCGCTCAGAGCCCTCCTGGACCGTGGCAGTCTTGTCAAGAGGCATGTTGAGCTCGGGGTCGCTCTTCTTGCTCTCGGAGGAAATGTCGTCACTGGCGTGGTAGTTCGTAGGAGCTGTCTCGAAGCCACGCTCCGGGTAGGACCTCTGAGCTTCCTGCATGCTGAAAAGATGCTCGTCAGGATACTTTTGAAATACCGGAGAGGATGAGTGGAAGGGTCGAAAACGCGGGGAAAAGGCCTCGTTTTGAAGTTCGGTTCCTGAGCGGCGAGCTAGGTCAAGGCGAGGCTCAAAGTAGAAGTTGCAGTGCAGGTCGCAGTCAAACCTTGGAACGGACGGCGGGATGAGCGGTTGTCGATAGCGACGTACCGTTGTCAGTCGGGCGGTTGATGATTAGAGTCGCGATGCAATCCTCATGCCTTTGGGGCGATGTGTTGGGTTTTGTATCGTCCAGCTTATCTGCCACTCTTCCCAAATGTGTAATAGAATGATGGCTATCAAAGACTGTTCCGCGCTCCAAGACGCTGTGACCGAGAATCACCGGGCGCGGCATTGAGTAGCTCGAGTCGGGGTTAATTCTCGGGGCTGAATGCTACCAACGGGCATATCCAGGTGGCCATTCACAGCGGCAGCAGTTGGCCCACCGCTGAAGCTGCATCTGAATAAGCCTTGCGCCAAGCGGGAGGCTCAACCTCGCAGGAATGCCAATTTTTATTGGCCTTCAACGGTGTTAAACATTTCCATCATAGACTCCTCAACTCCACGTTCTCCAGATCACAGGTTTGAACGCGTTCTGGCAGCAAAGTCTGGGGACGACACGCACTTCGGCATCGCAGCCGACAGCATCGTGCAGACGCTTTGTTGTTGCTCTGGCGTGCGCGTCTCAGGCTTCTCAGTGAAGATCGCGTGCCCCTACAGCGGCGATGGATGACGCGCTCCACTTGGTGTGCTGCAGTTGACGTAAAATTTTCGAAATTTTACGTTGCGCACATATGCACCTGAGGGACGTGCAGTGCTCACGCGTGGGACCTTTGTTTCGAGTGCGGTACGAGATGAGTGACGTCACGATGCACCCTTTGCGATGTACCTATGCGTTCGGATCCGTTGGACGCGCTGTCAGACGTAGATAAAAACGACGCACAGTGACAGTGACGATAGAAATAGAACGCCACCGACGAGATCGACTGCAGCCCTACCCGCGCAAGCCTAGCATCTTCGGGTTCGGCGGGATCAGTCAAGCCTTCGATCAGTGCGCCATCCCGGTCAGTGGCGGGTCTTAGCAATCTTAGCCGAATAGCTGCCGGCGCGCTAGTGGTCGGGCACAGCCCGACTACTACCGAAGCCTAGGCTACATGCAGTAAATTTTGACATCGTGTTCGTGATGCTCGTGCCATGCGTGAATTCTGGAAGGGTAATGGAATTGCTCCACAGCTGTTTGAAAGACAATGGTAAATGCCGCCCTCGACGCTTGCATGCTTATCTGTACCCCGTGCGCATCCTGGAGTGCATGCTAGGGCCCCTGAGGGTTCAGAGATGACCCAATCGCCACGAGTCTGAATGAGTAGGATAGGGCGCGTGTCGCGCGACCTTGTGTACCTCAGACCGGCGCTTAGTACGTCCTTAGAACGGACGTCTGCTCGGCGAGAGAGCATTGAAATCGGCCCTTTGCGCGGATTGAACTTCCGTCTCGGCGTTGTGCGCGAATTGTGGCCTGGATATGAGTGGCGGTTACCTCGACGGAGAGGTATTTTGAACGGCTCAAAGAGGAGCCGGAGTCTGGAGGTGTTGACACGTATGTGGAACGAAACCGGTAAGAATGGCTTGCAAGGTCTGGAGACGCAATTGGTGATCACTGTCGACTTCACGCATCAAAGCATTGAAATCCGTAGAAACACATCCACAGCTATTTAGTACTGTGACAGTACCTTGATATACGCTTATACTTTGAAAAGTCAGCAGCCTCGCTAGATGCGCCATTTCGTGCTTCAGCGTGAACTGCTCAGTCACCCTGCAACTTGCTGAAGATGATCGAGGAGGTAGTACGGACACCTCCAGTGCATGTTCTAGCTCTGACTCTCCTTCGAGGACACCTTGATCAGCTCGTCGAGCACATGAGGGTCGTACTCCCTCCTTTCAACGCCTCTTGATGATCTGCTCTCATCTGTCTCGTGCAAGTGAGCATCTGCGGCAGTCGACTCAGATGTGAAATCAAACACCCGGTGTTCACCTAGCAGACTCAGTACCACCTGGCATGTGTTCAGTATCTTTACCTACAATTCAACCACGCTGTACCGATCATGGGGTCTTCGACGTCCCAATCTTCGGTAAGGAAGTGAGCGAATGCGCCATGAGTGACGAGAACGACCTGTTCCGTTAGCTTGACTTGCAGAAGGATCTGAGCATAGGCACGCACCTGTTTCTCTGTTCGATGCAATAAGAAGCTTCTCAAGTCCGCAGCTCGTTTTGATATGGCATCTCGCTCGTACGCCCAGTATCCTTGCTGTTTACATGTCAGCTGTCATGTGACGGCCCCCACAATGCTTCGCAATACCTTGCTATTCCACCCTTTGGTCACGTGTGAAGCATCGATCTTATTGTAGTCAAAGGGCAGCTCGCCCTCCGCAAATAGTGTTGGCAATATCCGCCTTACATCATCTGCGGTATCTGCAAGCCCAACATCGCACCCACTGTTGCTAACCTCTTGCAACGGCGGCAGAAGCACGAAAGGCACCTCTTTCCGAGCTAGTGCTGGGCCCAGACTCAAAGATGCAGTTTGTATGGTTCGTCGCAGGGGTGATGAGAATACAATGTCGATTTCGTTGTGGTACTTGAAGGCGGATTGGAGAGTGCTGCATTGCCCTTTCCCTTTTGGGGTTAGGAGTGCGTCGCGGATCGAATAGTTGCGCTGTAGTGGTGTGAGATCTTCGAGGTACAGGACTTATGGACCTGTGACTTACAGTGGCATTGTGTTCGCCTTGCGCATGTCGGATGATATGGATTCTGGGAGGCATGGTGATGGTAATGCTGCTGTCTTTGTGGTCGTCTTCGGTTTTGGTGGGGTGTTGAGTCACCTTGTGCAGCCGCAGTGTCTTGATGGTGAGTGTGGCTTGGCTACGCAGTGATGATACGAATGTCTGTGAATTTGAATCACGGCGAGAACGTGCCTGTAAACGACTGACTGCCTTTGAATTCGTTTGCTGCTGTGGCTCTCTGTCGCACAGGTTCTTCGACTTTTCGCAGCTCACGAATACCGGTGACGTCAGCACTAGCCGCTTTGGGCGTGATATGGGTCTTTCTTGATAAGAAGCCGGTGGCACTCAAACAGACGGATGTCTTTGCGACACTTGTTTATGACAAGAGTCCAAGGGCAAAACAACATGTTGCAGTAAGTCGTTCCTCCAGCTGTCGTCACCTCGGTCCCTCGCATGCAAACACCAGCCGATCGCTTCAGCGAACTCCAGCCCAACTTCGCGCCAGCCTGTTTACTCCATCGAACACCTGCTGCATAGTCGAGTATTGGAGCAGATATTGAGTCGCCAGCAGGAAGCTCTTTACGAAAGCTTGTTGCCTCCAGAGACTTGCCAAAGCACAGCTCGAGCCATCTTATCCCAAGACTTGACAAAATTTCCGTGGGACGAGTATCGTAATTCTTCGAAAACTCTCGCCTGATATATGGCCGGTAGATAAGTGTCCGAAGTTGACTGTTGAGCCACGGTGTGGCACCAAGCCGCAAATACGAAGACGCAAGAGTCAGTGCAAGGCTGTGTCGTTTTCTTCTGGTGAGCACCTCCGCGCCGGGCAGAAGATCTTGCTGATACGACTTGCGCATCCGGGTATACTATGCAACGATACTCATCTTCCTCCAAGAATTTTAAGCAGCCTGGACACCGCGTCGATAACGATGCGCATAGATCGTAGATTGGCCTCAGATCCTGCACAGAATCAGGATGGCATATCAGTGGCTTGAACCGAACGTGTTGCTGGGAACGCGGGTCAGGAGGGCAGCATGCGACGTTGTCCCTTGTTTAGGGCCTTCGACCACCTTGGTTCTTCGTAAGCTGCGGACCAGCGACAGTCAGGTCAAAGATCACATCAAACTCCAATTTCTCAGGTGTGCAATGTTCCAGTCCTAGATTGGCAACATGGCTCAGGCAGCTGCGTTGCCCTTTCGACAACGCTATGTGTAGGCGTTGTGCGTGTCGCCAGATGCCGCCGATCTTCCGAGAGACAAGCAGTGAAGACTTGTGGACCTGCCCCTCTCGACGAGTAGCTGGGCTGTTCCTGCAGATGTTGCCGCGCTATGCTATTTGCAACACAGAAAACTTTAAATGCGCAATGTCTAAGCTTCACCCTATAAAAGCTTGCTTAGTCAGTGGTGTGCACAATGTAGTAATTCACGATCTTAGCTGTCGTGGCTGAGAGGTGAAAGAAAGTAGACATGCATCTTAACTGTGCCCTCTTGATAAGTAACGCGCCTTATCTCTACGCAAAGGCATAGTGCCTACTGTGTATTTAAATTTAGAAGTAGCAGACAGTCAAAGTTAATATAAGCTTTGCAGGAGCCCTTTTAGGTGTAACCTAGTAGTTGCATCTGCGCCAAGCCGGGCTGGTGCACCACCGGATTTAATGAACGACAACGTCTATGTCTCATGGAATGTTTTAGAAGGCATTTGGTGGCCCATCCCCCGTCTCATTGAGATCAATGGCGAGATTTGAAGGCGACAGCTTTGTAAGGTTCCTACTGCGATATACTTGATCCGTGTCAGAGACACTGATTAATAAACACGTCTCCTCGGTATTGAGGCCATCGGCACAACTCTGAGGTAAGTTTACCTTGACTAAGAATTTCACGGTACCTACGAATCTGTTAGGTGAGAAATTGCCCCAACTTCGGAAGCGGCAGGAGGTCCTTGGTAAGTGAAGGTCCCACAAAGACGCTGTCAAAAACACAGTGGATCTAAACATTTATTGCAGTGGTGAAGAATCGATGTCTTCTTATTATCGTGGAGCAAGGCAGTCCAGCTGCTTACACATATCCAGACATCTCAACGTGTATCCAAGTCTCCAACACCTTCACACAAATTCACTTCTTCACTTCCTACCCTTTGTCCTGCCCTTGGTCTGCGACACTGTTTTCGGCACAACACCATTCGCGTACATAGTCCCAAACCGCTCAACCTCCTTGGTCAAGCTCGAGTGGCTCCTCTTCGGCCTCACTACCTTGCACCCATCCATTGTCTTGCCCTCAAACTCCCTGTTGAAGGCGTCGACAAACCTCTTCCATCCACCTGTAGGCTTCCCGTCCGTCAAATGGGCAAGAATCCATACTCTCTCCTCCTTGATGTACGGCTCGACCACCTCCCTGAACCTCACGCTGGTGTTGCGGCGGATCTGTTGCACGGTGCGCTTGTTGAGCGCAGTGATGGCCTCCTGGTTGTTCCAGTCTCGAGGCGGTGGGTTGAGAAAGATGCGCTGGCGGTGTTGTTTGTCGGTAAGCTTGATGATTAGCTTGTGCTTTTGGTCAGAGGCGGTGCCGTCGGGTAGGCGCTCGAAGCGGCCCGGTACAAATTGCGTGCTGTGAGTGTCAGCGACCTGCTCGAGTGGAAGGTAAGAAAGACTCACAACTCAGGCTCGGTGGTAAAGTCTGAGGGATTCGAGTGGTCGGTTGCTAGGAAGCCCCACTTCACGTTGCGGAAGAGGTGAGGCTTGTTTGTCTCCTTGACGTTACCAGGCAGCTCATCAGCGTCGCTGCTGTAGTAATCTGGTCCAGCCTTTGTAGCGGCGGCGATGAGCTTTGCATGGTCGGGATTGGTGAGGTCCAGCATGCGCTCAGAGCGCTTGAGAACATTGCTGGAGAGGACGAGCTTGCTGTCGGGCGGAGAAGTGGGTGAGCTGTCCTCGTCAGCTGCATCGAACACAGCGTCGTCCTCGTAGTCGCTGTTCTTGGCGATCGTCTTCACCTTCTTAGCTTTGCGCCAGGCGGTGCGCTTTACCGGCTGCTCGACAGTAGACTTGATGATCTTCCTGCTGGGTGGCATAATGTCGATCTCTGAGTCGGTATCAAAGTCATCGCCGGATGTTGCCTCAGAAGAGGTGCGCTTGCGAGTGGGCGCGGCATCAGAGAGAGAGAAGGAGCTACCGGTGGTGTGGGAGGACTCTTTAATGGCCGCTTGGATGCCGCGCAGCTTCAGCTTGAGACAGGAACTGGAAGAATTTGAGGGAGACGAGCGAATGTTGGGTTCTAGTGTGGTGGCTGGCTCCACGCTCTCTGTCTGAGGAGATGCCGTCTCTGCTCTGCGAGGCGCCAGACGCAGCTTGAGACATGGTGACCGAGATGGCGAAGATGCGGCCTCGAAGCTCGCATCTTGAGTCAGTTTGGCTGTAAAGAGGTCAGTGTGTTAATCCCGACTGTTGTGTTGGCTCACTTACGCGCGGCAGGAGCGAAGTGGGTATTGCCACCGTCATCAGCTAGACTGCCTTGCGCAACTGACGGGACGCTCGAAGTGGGATCATCGAGATGATTCGAGGGTGATTTAAACTCGCTCTTGATGGATGTAGGGGAGATGGGTGAGCTGTCGATGGTGCGGGCGCTCAACGTCTGGGTATGCGCGCTCATGTTGCTTTTTGGCGCGATCGCACGGTAAGAGTTGGCGTTCATAATGTGGAATTGAAACTACAATGTGAGAAGAGCTGTACAACAAGGCGGTGCTCAAAAGTTCGAGAAGTGTGAGAAAGGTGCGTGGCCGCAGCAAGCGTCGAAAGGTATGAAAGTTTGGTATCAAGCCGAAGGATCGATCGAGTGAAGTGTGGGCGAGATAAGGTAGCTGTAAGTGTGCGCCGGCGCTAAAGTTCTTCCGTGAGACTCATTGTGTAGACCAAGCAGGTCTCGACAATAAGGACAGTGTTCACGGTGAAGGATGATCAGTGCGGGCGAGCTCTATTGAGGTGAAAGCAAGATTGTGAGTGAGTTTCCGCATAAGAAGCATAATGTAGCGCATACATTTACGCTGAAAAGGTTGCTGGCGTACGGTAGCAATGTCCTGGGTGGAGCATAGTGTCTTTTGTGTCTTATGGCTGAGTGTTAAAGCTGAGGGATGGGGCGCAAGACTCCTCAGCTCCTATCCGCTGATTTTGGGGTCTTGTCCAAAGCTGATGACCGGATTGTTTTGGTGGGTATGTGATGTGATATCTGTAGGGGATGAGGACAGTGAAAGGAAGGTCGAAGAAGCGTCGCGCGAGATGGCAACCCACGCTAGTGGAGGTTCGTGACGTAACAATCAGCAAACGGCGAGAGTGACGGAGAGAGTGACACCTCATATGGAGAATGTACAATTCCTAATTAAAAAGAATGCTTCGCCAGAGGAAGGAGGTCGCGATCGACCCAGTACCCGCCTCGAGCCCAACAAAGTCCGGCACCCAGCTCGTCGCGTTCCCAAAGCCGTCGATAACGAGTGCTTTGTTTGCGCCTTGAACAAAGCCATCAGTCTCAGGACCAGATGACTGGTTTGCTCTCAATTGTCGCCGGAAAGCGGAAGGCCCATCGCTTCGCCTCCGCCGTCGCAACGATGGTCGCATTGCTGGCGCGTCGCTTCACTTCCACGCTGTTGTAAAGGTATATTCATAGTTCACGAAATCAATTCCCAATCGGCTTCTTACCATGGTTGGAGGAACTTGGTTGGGACAACAATTTGCTTAGGGTCGGCACCCACGTTTGGCCATGTCGATCGTATGTACAGCATGTTAAGTCTATGGTGACAAGATCTAGAATTCGGCTGTGCGATTGAGATCCATCTACAGAGCACATGTGATGCGGAGCAGAGTCATAAGTGGATGAAAATATCCACCGAGATTGCTCACATATAACGTTATTGCGAAGTTGAAGATATGCTGAAGATGTAGAAGCAATGCTCTGTTGGTCACATTAATACAGCAAAAGTACTGCGCGTGAAGCATGACAAAGACAAGGCTTAAACATCTCGCAGCTTACTGTCTTCAACATGCAGACTCATATCCCTCACAACGCTGCCCTTCCTCTGCGACACCGACTCAACATCGTCCCTGGAGTCGTTGCCGTTTTCGTATCTGATCTGATCGTGCAGAATCTTGAAATTCTTCTCCGCCTCCCAGTTCCATATGCTGTCGGAAGCGAACAGCAGATCGATCTCCTCAAGAGTGCGCTGATTTGTCTCTGGATACAACGCCCATACCATAGGGAGAGTAATCGCGTTGCAGGCTGCAAATATGTACAGTGTCTTCTCGCCAAGCGCCTCGAACATGATGGGACAGAGTAAAGTCAGCCAACCATTGCCGATAGACCATCCCACAACACCCCAAGCATTTCCCTTGGCTCGGACTTCGAGTGGAAACACTTCCGCCGGGTAAATCCACGGCACAGTGAGCCAGGTCGCGCCGAAGATGGCAGTGAAGATGAACACCATGGACACAGCTGCGTTACCGTACGAGGCAACCTTGCCACTATCTGTTGCTTGCTGGCCGAGATATGAGAACGCTCCGGCAAGAGCCATCGCGATGCCCTGCCCAACGGATCCCCAGTAAAGAGTCCAACGCCGGCCGATGCGATCGAGCGTGAAGACGCAGATAAGTGTGGCGAACATGTAGAAGATGTTGTTGAGACCCGAGATCCATTGCCGCTTTGCGGGACTCATGCCTGCAATTCCGAAGATGGTAGGCGCGTATATTGTGACACCAGCGATGCCGACCCACTCCTGCATGATCTGAAGCCAGACGACAAGCTGTACACGTCTTCCGGTATGCAACTTGCCGGAACCAATGCCGAAAAGCATGTGGAAGTAACTCTGCTTACGGAAGTTGGAACGCTCGAGCTCGCACGAGGCGACGATATCCTGGAACTCTGCCTCGGCTTTCTTTTTGTCTGCTCCTGTGTCGCCGCGGAGCCGCGCAAGAACATAACGTCCCTCAGCCTCGCGTCCAACCTTGATAAGCCATCCTGTGGATCTGTTAGCTTCCTGTGATTGTAATACCTCGAGGAATACGGACTCGGAGACTCTGGGAAGAAAAGCACGCCAGCCATGAGTATCATGAGCATGGGGATCTGAAATGCGATCGGGAAGCGCCAGATGAAGGACGAGGTGCCGTCGCCGTAGAAGGAGCATGCGTACTCAAGCCAGTATGCAATGACAACACCGAAGATATTTAGAGTGAACTCGATAGCAATGAATTGGCCACGCGAGGTATGTTCAGCAGTTTCGGTAGCCCAGACAGGGATGATAGAGTTGAGAATGCCCGTGCCCCAGCCATTGACCAAACGTGCGCAGATCATCCACTCGTGGTTCATGGCCGAACATTGCAGACACGCACCGACGGTAGCAACTGCTGCGCCGACGAATATAGTCTTGATACGTCCATAGCGGTCGCCAATGGAACCACCAATCAAACAGCCGACCAGAGTGCCAAGGTAGTAGACAGAGACAATCCCTCCTTGAAGCAGGGCGTGGTCAACAACAGCCTCTCCATTCGGTCCTCGATGGCCGAAGCCCATGCGGGTGTAGTAATCGTATGCAGTGTTGACACCGCCCATCATACCCTGGTCATAGCCGAAGAACAGGATTGAAAGACCGGCGATGCAGTTGATCCTACGTTCGTTAGTACAGCACCGAAATGCAGCAGAGAGTCCTCTTACGCAATGAGAAGGCTGCGCTTCTCATAACGGTGCACAACATTGAGCTTGTGGATCTGGTCCATATTGACGAGGATCTGAGAGATACGCCAAATGCCCTGAAGCCTTGAGGTACCGTCGGACAGCAGAGGTGTCAATTGCGAGAGGTGCGCAGCTGTCTTGTGACTCGAAGCGAGGCATGACGATACCTTTATACACAGTATGTGGATCTCACGAAGGCAGGTTCAGCGGCACGAATCATGTGAGGGGATCCGCACTTCTATGAGTGTGGGGAAAGCTCCCCGTGGGACTTATCTGTGGAGCCCCAGCTTTCCCGTTCATGTTGCGCTCTGAGTATATCAAGTCTTAGACTGGCGCAGTAGCACCCATTAGCGCTTGCTCCGCCGACAAACAATTGATCACATCGTTCTGCCGACTCGTACGTGTGCTCGGGGAGGTGAAAGGCGCAGAAATAATTTCGTCACATTGATTCGGAAAGTTGCCGTGACAACGCCGCCGCAAGTTTCGGAGGCGCCACGTAGGGTAATACGAAAAATGTTGCGCCAAGCCGACACCACTCGGTACAAGCATTGTCAGCAGAGGCTTTGCGCGACTTAACGACCTGGTGCGAGTCGTTTGCCATCAAAGTCTCCTACACGTCACTGATTATTTCGAATCGCGAATTTTGAACGCGAAAACAGCGCTCACAATCCGTCAGAGTTCGCAAACTCCCAGTGACGTAGGATAGCTTTCAGGGCGCCTAGCAACGATTGGTCGGGGCTATCCGGGGAGCGTCGCGACAAGTGGGGCTTGCTCAGATCACCGGTCGGCAATTCGATTTGCGCCCTCGCGGCTTGTTCGCTGCGCCGCATGTGCCAAGACTTCACAATGCGACAGCGTCGAACATTCGCAAGTGTGCCCTGTGTCCATAGCTTCGATATTGGGGTGACAAATGCCAGCAGTCTCCGGCAAACGTAAGTCCTTTTCAAGCACTTGCAGTAGGCCTACGTGCGTATTGCATGGTCGGGAGGCCAAGTGCAACGCTTGATATTTACAGTCAGAAGCCGACGTGGATCTGATCGACGTCGCGGCGTCATGTACTGGTTTGAACGCGCAGCTGACTACTAACGTCCTCTAGGATTAGTCTAGACGCCTTCAGGTCTGGCGCTTCTGCCTCCCAGAAGCGCAATGTCGACAGGGTATGCTGAACGCTTCGTTCGCATGTCTCGTCATTTGCGACAAGGCCGGATTTCTGCGCAGCGAGCAGTAAGAGTGCTGCGGTGAAGCTTTGTCTCACCATGAACCAGGTGCCATGATGGCGATGACGGATGTCCCAATGTTGTGTCAGCTTCGTACAAGTAGAAGCATGTAGTCGCACCAGCGGGCCCAACGCGAGCTGCTCGGAAGCGTCGTGTCGGTTGTGGATGCTGCGGTACAAGAACGGGCGGTAGATGCGCTCTTTGACCTCCAGAGACCGAGCCTGCAGATGGTAGGCAAGCTCAGTATCTGCCGGCATCTCGCTATCAAAAGATATGAGCTTAGGTAGCGTACGATGCCATTCTGTCAGTTGTCGATCAAGCTCCTCTGCTGTCTGCAGGAGGCTGTGCAAGGAGACGTCTACCCAAGCAGACTCGCCACCATTGTACGAGGAGCTGATAACGCGCTGCAGTATACGGCGCGCTGCTATCTCAGCCAGATAGTAGTACCAGCCCTCCTCAAACTCGTTGTGGATCCTTGCCGGGCTCATGTCGTCACCAAAGCAACTGTGAACGCGGTAGAAGTCTTCAGACATGGTCGCGGTTGGGGGAGGCGGTGCAGGAAAATGGCTCGTATAGTTTAATTTGGTCAGGCCCGATGAAGGAAATCTGATCTCGATGGATGTCTCGTGCTCTGACTTCAGGCAAGACCAGTACAGTCGACTTGCACGAGCTTTTCCGAGCTGGTTTTCGGTAGCATAGTATTCTGAACGCATCCATGTAAGCTGCAACAGATCGTCAGTCTTGCAGGAAATCGCTGCAAATTGCCATCTTACTGTCTGAAATGCCACGCAAGCCCGATTAAAGGAAATGGCGGCCTGCAATGGTCGCAGTGTATACATCTCGTACATGCCTGCTACGAAATGGCATTCAGTCGCGACCAACGTATTCTTTAGAAGACCGATGCGCTTGCACGCTGCCGTATAGTACGATTCTGCTGTCTGGTAACCCGGTGTGGTGGACAAGCTGGTGTCAGCACGCAGTAGCATGTTGTCCGGCGTCCGGGTCGTTTGACGGCTGAATCGAGAGGAAATAGAGGCAAGAGCGCAGACGAGAAGCTTTGGTTGTCAATTAAGATCATAGATCATGGTCGTTAGCGACATAGTCTGGTCACTTACTACGAGACAGCTGCCTGCTTGCCAGTTCAAACCATGCTCAGCCACACCTCTGGCCATACTCCGGATGTATTCGGGGTCGAAAATTGGGTTCTTAACATGAACATTGAGTAAGAATGCTTCAACGAGATGTGGAACATCATCCTCGCGTACGCCAACTCCCAATCCTGAAGCTTGGCGTGGGTCCTTATACGTATTTCGAATCGTGTCGTCGGTCACTCTTGGTGAGGTGCATGGTCCAGATAGATCATCGCAGGGCAGTGTCGGGTCGAAGATCAAGGCCTCAATCCAACGACGGTCATACTTGCCTTCGAATACTGGCCAGTCGAGAATGTCCTGGCCGGAGCCGAAGTAGTCGTGCTTCGATGCTTCAGTCTCATAATCGTCGGGTGTGACATCGTATCTGGGGGGTGTAGTCGCAGTGTAAGGCTGATTCCCATTGAACTCATGCGAACTGGTCGTGTGGCCGGCGAGAGCATCATCAATGTTGCTTCCAAACTTCTGGGGGCTTCCAGCCGTACGCAGACATGGCTCGACCAGTCCGATCAGATAGTCGAGACGCTCAAGGATCCGGATTGCCGGAGGGACAGTCGCAGTGGCTTCATCTCCCTCATAGACACATTGTGCATTGAGCTCGATACACTTGGAGCAAATCGGCCGCTCATTGTTGCACTTCGTCTTACGGGTGCGGCATAGCTGACATGCGGTTAAAGACCGTTTGCGCGAGAAGGTTGCGTGGTTATTCAAATCTGTGGATGGGAGCTTCCTCTTCCGGGACCTGCCTGCAGCTGATGATTGGCGAGGGGATATTAGGTCCTCAAGAGGTTTGTTTGCGATCAAGTCGTCCAGCTGTGCGGCGGGATCCATTTAAATGCATGGCCCTTTGTCAGAATTCCCTTGACGGATGACTAGCAGGTGATGATGTGATGCGGGAGCGCCATGTTGATGTCTGCGTCAAAGAGATGATGAAGGAGCAAACCTCGGAAGGAAAGACCCTGCCAAGACGCCATAGCTTCGTCTAGCTCGTTCTAGACCCCGCATCGCTCATCCCGAAACTTTATACCGCGTTCTCCGGCGCTTCTCATCAATGTCGGTTCTCACCGAACTCGACTGGCAACTTGGTCGGCGGGCAGATACGAGTACACCGTCGTCGAAACTTCCTCGCAAGCCGCACAGGAAGGTGAAAACCGGATGCAAAACATGCAGGATCCGACGTGTGAAATGCGACGAGAGAAGGCCTGATTGCCGGAAGTACGCCAGCCATGAAACCGGCACTTCGTGTGCTGACTTTGCCAGATGTACAAGTACGGGCCGGACTTGCGATGGGTACACGACAAACCCGATTGTTTACCAAAAGCAAATGTTCGACTACTCAGAGATCAAGTCGGTCTGGTCGAGCAAGGCGCTGGCGACGCTTCCTGGGTTTGAAAATGACATGCGCTACCTAGAATTCTACTATCATTGTGTGGGACCGAAACTTTCCGGTAGATTCGACACTGAGTTCTGGTCACGCACGATTCTACAGATGGCACACGCCGAGCATGCTGTTCGCAGTGCTCTGATAGCCTTGAGTCATTTGAATCAGCATCAAAGCGGCACTCTGCAGCATGCTCGTCGGTCTGCGCTTGATGGAAAGCAGTATGATCGCATGCCATTTTGGCTGAACTACAACAAAGCGATCAGACTGCTTGTGGAGCACATGTCTAAGCCGACCTATTCAGCCGAGCAGGGATTGGTCTGTTGCCTACTTTTCGCATGCATTGAGTTTCTGCAGGCTGATGCAAATGTCGCTTTCACTCACATCAGGAGCGGACTGAACATCGTTCACGAGTTGCGACAGCGAAAGCTCGTAGGCTCCGCTACCAAATCTGCTGAAACCGGCCAGGACAGTGTCAACGCCCGCTCGAACATGGTCGAGCAGGTGCTGGTCCCAATCCTTACTCAAGCTCTTGCATCTGCTCTCCCCTACGGTGCGAGTCTCGCCAAAGACTTTGCATTCCTGGACTCATGCCCACAGTACTTCACGGGGAGGTCATTTTCAAGTCTAGACGATGCAAGGTCTTCATTCTTTGACCTGCGAAATGCAGCCTTCACGATCGCACGGGACATGGCGATCAAGCTCTACGGATCGCTGTCCTTCACCCAGGCAGATCACAAGCGCCGAAATGACCTTCTGAAGCGTCACCGTGACTGGCTAGAGGCTCTGAAAGCATTCGAGAGCTCACAAACAATTCCAGCAGCAGATACGCTTTCACTCAGTGCACTTAGGCTCGGCTATTGTGCAAGCTACAGTGCGTGCGCATGCATCATGGACAAAACTCAGATGTCGTACGACGCCCATCTTGAAAGCTATCACGATATCAACCGACACGCTAGCTTCTTGATCCATTCGCTTGAGGTTGGTACTTCTAGGGAGCAAAATTGCGCGCTTACTCCCTCTGCCAACTTTACGTTCGACACCTCCCTTATCCCAGCTTTGTTCTACCTTGCCATACGCTGTCGCTGTCCCATCACACGTCGCACGGCCATCAAATTACTGGCCAAGGACCTGCCTCGCGAAGGGCTTTGGGATGCCGAACAGCATCGCATTGTGGCCGAGCGAGTAGTCGAGATCGAGGAGATGGAGGTCGGCGCAAACGGATGGCCCACAGGGGTATCTAGACTGTGCACAAGCCGTGTTGGGACCGAGGTTGATTGGAACAACGGCTTCCAGGCAAGCTTCCTGTACACAAAAGATATCGACCTAGCGGCGCAAAAATCTTGGAGCGAGCGACTCGTCCTGGGTGAGAGTGTTAAGAGAACGCTCGCTCCCTTTGCGCCTACACAAGAGTGACACCGAACGCCCATCAGCCATGCGGCTTTCTTGTCCCGTAACACCTAGATTCCCATGATATGCATCTTCGGTAAGATCCCCACTAGCTACGTCTCCGAAGAGAGTACGCGATTTGACTTGATCAAGGTACACGTGTCACTACCCGATCGTTCCGGCGATGCCAGATCAGCTTCCAACACCACACAGGGAATATTCACCATGAAACTGGCAGACGAACTAAGTCGTGAAGATTTGGCGTTGCTCTATAGGAACATTCACACCGTCAGGCTGGAATCCAATATATACTGTACAGTTATGTTCGGCACCCGTGAACAATATATCGGGCTGGACACCTATCAACACCACTCCTGTGCCTTCCTTACTCGCTTTCGGTTTTTGCTTCATTGAATGTGGGAGGCGATACTGAGACGGAAGACGTCCGGCAAGGGAAGACAAGCTGCTGGTTAGCAAGTGTGACGGGGGTATGCATGTGCCGGAGTCGTCGGATGTGGAAACTGCGACAAAATCATGCTGGAGCGTGATGAGATATTCCGGAAGGCAATTGATCGAAACACTAAGACACTGGCATACTGGCACAGGCCGGTGTCAACTATATTTTAACTCATACTTACTGCATGCTGCACGGTAGTTAGTCACCTGTCGTTTTACTTTTTTTCGACATGATTTAATTGCGGTGTTGAGGTTCATATCTTTTCTAGCATGTTAACCACGCCCTGAAATTCCGCATGGAATTTGTCTAGTCTCCGACAGCCACTCCCCGCATTAACATCCTGGACACAAGGTCAGCTTTCGGTGCATCTAGAATATCAAGACGAAATTACGGGCCGATGCTCTTTGTACACCGCCGAGCTCTGCTCCTAGAATGTTCGTTCTGGCACATTGCTTGCCGGATTTTGGAGACGTCATGTGACATAGTGCTTCTCGGTTGAAACCAGAACGTACGAACGCCGAGGAGAGCACCTCAATACATTAACAGCGTCATGTAAGGCCACAGAAGATGCCTGACCCCCCAATTAGATGTGCGTGGCTGGACATACCCCGCATACCCACTGCGCCTGCCTCGGCCCGCATATACCTGCCCTTCCAGACTTTCCCTACATCAACACCTTCCTCGAACGATCAACACACAGCAAACAAGGCGCTTATCATCTGTACGGAAAGTGTAGCAACGGAGACATCGTGCACGATGCGCATGTTCCTTCTCAAGAAGTTTGTATAGTCAGAATGACCGTACTTGGGCTTGCAAGCTGCCAGAGCAGAGCTCCACGGACGAAAATAAACTTGTCTAGCGGATAACCTTACCATACCAAGACCAAGCACACTAGGGGTCTTTCACCAGCCATGCCTCGGTATCGGAGATTGTATAGAACGTCTGTATGGATGAACCACGCCAGACGAGAGCGCCATACTTTCGAGAAGTATTGACGGCACGATCAGGCCCCTCCCAGCGGCCTCGGTTCCCGGGCTGCACACATCATCAGTCATGCACGATGACCTACGCACCGTACACGGCATACACATAGAAGAGCGCCACAAGTAACGCTAATTGCTGATTCTCAGACTCTCGACGACCTCCACGATGCGGTTCGATAGCAGCGCACTGTCCCTGGCTCTTCCAGCTTTGATCTCAGCTTTGAGCTACAACCCTACGCCGACAGCGACCATCGATGCTGGTGTTGTAGTGGGCAAAGCAACGGCACTTCCAAATGGGCTAGGACCTTCTGTCAATCAATTCTTTGGAATTCCGTTCGCTCAATCACCTCCAGAGAGGTTCTCTCCTCCCCGTAACATCTCCGCTTTCAGCAGGCCTCTCAATGCCACAGCATGGAAGCCAGCATGTGTACAACAATTCAGATGTGAGTTCCGTCTCAAACCCTGCTGTAAGTTCTCACTGATCCCCAGTAGATCCCCTCGCAAGCCAGCAGTTTGCACAGGCCGTGTTCAATAATCCTGGTGGTCAGCCACCTGTCGAGTCTGAAGATTGCTTATATCTCAACGTGTACGCCCCATCTGGATCGCCAGGTGGCAATGGAAGAGCTGTAATGTTTTGGATCTATGGAGGCTCTCTACAGTTCGGTACTGCCGGTATGTAACCAATGGCGGAGATATGAGTAAAACTGATGTGAGCTCAGGCTTGTCAACCTACGATGGGAGCGCATTTGCCGACTACGAGGATGTCATCGTCGTGACTACAAACTACAGGACCAATGGTCAGTACTAGCTTACATCTCAGCCTCTCAGTATCTAACTATTCCAGTCTTTGGTTTCCCTGCGTCTCCTGAGCTACCTGTGGGTGCACAGAACCTTGGTTTTCTCGATCAGCGTTTCGCCCTCGATTGGGTCCAACGCAATATCCATGCCTTTGGCGGCGACCCTGCCAAGGTCACAATTTTTGGGGAGAGTGCCGGTGGCTTCTCTGTAGACGCACTCCTAACCAGCTACCCCAAGAACAGCAAGCCCCCATTCCGTGCAGCGATTCTACAAAGTGGACAGTATAGCTACAGGACTTCCTCGCCATCATCGAGCGTTCCAGCATGGAACAACCTCACCGCAACTCTTGGCTGCCCTAGTACCTATGGCAGCAACTTAACATGTGTGCGTGCTGCCGATGCGACCGAAGTGAAGCGAATCATAGAGGTCAATTCTCTCGTCTTCAATCCTGTCGCAGACAACGTGACTCTTTTCACCAATCCAGCTGCGCGCAGATTAAGCGGTAACATTTCGTACGTTCCCGTACTGACAGGCTCGAATTCACAGGAAGGACGGTAAGTCGACTCGTGTAGCCTCACCAGAGCTTATTTAACAACTCTTAGTGTCTTTGCTGTCGGTCAAACTAATTTGACAGCATTCTTACGGACCACCTTCAGCACAGCCTCTGTTTTGATCCCAGCAATCGCAGCAGCGTATCCCATTGGCAGCCCAGGAATCACTAATGGTTATGACGCTATCTCCGCTGTCATTACAGATTTGACGTTCCAATGTGTGAGTGCACTCTCCTGCTTTACATTACAAGTCACTGATCGTATGATAGCCAGCAGCACTCTGGGCCAACGCCACAGCATCCATCGGCATACCCACCTGGCGCTACTACTTCAACGCGTCTTTCGCTAATACGCAAGCATACCCAGAACTTGGTGCGTACCACGCTTCTGAGATCCCACTCGTGTTCCGCACGTACCCCAAATCCAACACCACAACTCAAGAGTTTGCGCTCTCCTCGTTCATGCAGGGTGCGTGGGCGCGCTTTGCGAAGAATCCACTGGGCGGCCCAGGCTGGAACCCTGTCGGTACTGGTCAAGCAGGAACGGTCCTCTCTGGCGCCTACGATTCGGCTGTAGGTGGCATTTACTACGGTAGCAGCGGAAATGCAACCGGTGGTGACTGGAATCTGGCAGTTCTCGGCGATGTGGGCAGAGTGAAGGGTGGAGGCGCAACCATCTATCCGCAAAGGCAGTTGGACTACAGGTGCAACTTGTACAAGCCGATCTACCAAGCTCTCGTTGGTTCTGCTGGAATCCCCCCTTAAGTTAGTCGAGGGCAGACGAGGCTGGGAGGACGCGATGTTTGGAGTGCGGGGTAATGGGGCTCCTGCCAAATCTATCGAGCTCACAACTGCCGGAATTCCTGGATGACGACAGCCACGCAAAGTACGAGAACTACGGCATCAGATCGCGGTACCATACGGATGGTCTATATATATCTACCCGATGCGCTAGCATCGTGACCTCACATCAATTGATCGTACCTGCCTCATGATGCGCTTCTCCACACCTCTCACTACACTCGCAGCATTCCCGTCATACATCATGGCTCAAAACTCAAGTGATCCTCAACCACCGACAATGACCTTGCTATATCATATGGAAGTACAGCTCGGTGATCGCTTCTCGATGGGCCCTGTGCCAAATGGCCAGGAGCGAATCGTTATTCCTATCGTAGGCGGCACATTCAAAGGGCCCAAGCTGCAAGGTATAATCCATACATGCCTCCCACTCACGTTCGTCTAACAGCCCCCAGGCAAAGTCCTCAACCTTGGAGCAGACTGGCGTCTCACCGATAAAGACGGTAAAATCCGGCCCGACGCTCGATACAATATCCAAACCGACGATGGGACCTGGATCTACGTGCAGACGGAGGGGCCGACGCAGCCAGATGGGCGAACGCTGTTGAGAGGAAGGTTCGAAACGAGCACGAATGGGACGTACAATTGGCTAAATGACATTGTAGCTGTGGGTGTGCTGACGAGGAGTGGGACCACGGCAGTCACGATTGATATGTGGGAGGCAGGTGCGCCGTAGACGACGAGGTTGAGAGGTATCTACCAACCACTTTCATGCCATTGAGCATCACGAGATGGGACCACGGTTTGATCTTGAGTGCAGAAATATTTACCGCATGGTCACTACGAGCACGCCATCTTTCGATAGCGCCAAAGTCGGTCATGGTAGTAGGGGTCCTGGAGTTCTCGATGAATTGATGAATCACAAAGTACCTCCTGATATAGACTGACTCGTAATCGCACCTCATCATCTAACAGTATCTGTAACCACGTGGCTCAGATCCCATGATATCCTATTGTAGCAGGCACTGCCCGGCGGGCAAGTGCGCTTACCTGAGAGCTTGTGTAACACAACATCACAACACGACAACAGATAGCAATACACTCGTTGATCACAGTCTCCGACCGACACTGCTCACACAGTTATAGTATCTCATCAGATGCAGCGCCAATGGCTAGATCACCGAACCAGTCACCCGGGCGCTTCGAACGGCACGATCCTGCGCGTCGATTTGTTGCGCATGCGAAACAGAGTCTCGGTGGCCTTTGTGAGTTCGTCGCCACGATTTGACCCAATGAAGTCTGCGAGGACGATCAGAATTGCAAACATGGAATAGGGTGCGCCGACGTATGCGAACTAACGCTGATGAAGACGAATATAGATTCGACTATAACCTTCAATTGGTGATGAGATCAAAAGGAAGACGGGATTCTGGTACTCGGCTTAAACCTCCACTTTAATGACACATGAACGAGCCCTGGACTTCAAGGCATCCTTTCCGGCGGACCAATTGACGTCGAAGGCCTGGGAGTCAAGATCACTGAAGTATGCGGCACCTTTGCATCTGCTAGATTGGTCCGGAGATAATCACCATCGAAAACAAATCAAATGGCTGAATTCTATGGCCCACAGGAACGTACGACCAACCGCAGAAATGATTTCCCACTTGCTCGAGACCCAACCGCACATTCTCTACCGATGTATTGGATAGTAATCGGCAAACAGCAGCAGCCCTGGCTGGTATCGCGAAACGCGTAAAGCCGTTGTACCGGAGAAAAGGTTGGGTCAGTAATTGTCGCGGCAAACGTAGCCGCTGTATATCGATGGAAAACTGCGCTGAGTTGCTTGCTAGCTAGGAGGCGACCATATATACATGCCCTGAGACGTGCTAGTCCAAGGTAGTCAACAGAGGTGACGATCGAGGCCTGTCGGACCTACTTGCACCGTAACAGTAATGCTGTCATGAGAGTTGCCAGAAAGTGGATCGCGACGTTCTATAGCAATGGGAAGGTGTATTGCAGTATTAATATACTCAAGACTAATCAATCCTTGCGTTAGATCAGCGACGCATCGCCCACGGTGAAAGGACGCAGCGTATCTTGCCATTCATCCACGTTTCCAGTCAGATTCCCCATCTTAGTAGAGACACCGCCAGGATCAAATCCTGTTGTGTATGCGACTGACTCCAAGCTGTTCTAGTCCGACCGCCCTAATGATCCTCAAACAAAGGGAGTCGATAGTAGCGATCCTTGGCATGTATACGCTGCCGAGTCGCGAACTCGTTGTACAGATCCATGATGCCATGTCGCACCACGAAATCTCGTAGCCTATGATGGAACTCTTTCTTAATAGCACTCGTCTTCTTTGATACTGCGATGCCGAGGTTGTACATTTGTCCGAATTCGAACTGGTCAGCCTGAGTCAAGCCGGCGCTCATCCGCACTATGACCTTCGCCATGTAGGTGTCAGCGGTAGATGGGAGCCAGGGGAGAGAAGGAGTGGAGTGGCAAATCTTACAAGTGATGCGGTGACCACAGCGATGATCAGGGGTAATGGAGGCGAAAGCGGCTGCCTCGGTGGTTGCGGCGGACTCTTGTGGACTGGGCGCTGACGCAGGTTCTGGTGCTGTAGCTACTATATTTGGTGGCGCAAAAGGTGCAGGTTTGGTGATATCGGGTACTTGAGCGTCGTCTCCTCCTCTGGACTCCCAGCCGCCTTCACCTTCTGGCTGATCGAGAGCGTCAGACTGAACCGCGGGGGCGTTGTCACCAAATTCTTCCGTCAAGTCGATCACTTCCCTTCCGCTGCCCGTATCGTTGTGTTTAGACCCCGCTGCCGAAACCGATGGTGTCACGGTTTGAGTCTCTCTTGCCTCATAGGCAAACGCACCTCACCTTTGGTGAGATGTGACTACCCATCCTGCACTAGCGCTGTTTGCAGCCATTCGTGTATACCTACTGTTCGTAGCTGCACACAATACAACCTCAGTTCAATCCTTCAATTCTTTCTGCATATGCGCACTGTTCACTCCACCGCAACAGATGCTGATGATCGCTGTGAGCTGAGTCGCACTCGCAATGACGAAGGCTGCGCTTCGACCTGGTCGATGTTGCTCGCCCCAATCGCATCCTGTTTACGCTTCGCTTCTGGATAGTCGACAGCCTCATTCTACCAAGCCTCGATTCGTTGCTGCGCGGTTGTTCTTTGTTACAGCGCGATCGCCCTCATCGGCATGTTGTCGCGCAAAAGCTTCGGATGCTGGGACCTTTGTCACATCCGTCAAGCGCGCAGTGTCAGGAAAAGGAGCGTCTGCGTCCAGATTGTCTAGTCCGACTGGCTCAAACTGGAGCTTTGTCTCTGGCGGAAAGCGGACGTATCCACCTTGGTCTGTTCGAATGGTGAATGCTTCAAGGATCCATGGGTCGTTGATGATGATGTGACGGTACAGAGGGCCATCCAGAAGTCGAGCTTCGGCGCGTAGGATCTTACCAGTGGCATCGTACATGACCAAGACAATACGATCAATAGTCGACCCGAAGGTGCAGGTCCTGAATAAGCCAATTTGGGAACTGGGCATGACATTCCATCATCTGCGTCTGGGGAGCCCCGTGTGCCGAGGGTGTTGTTTTGTCACGGGCAGAAGAGGTTTACTTAGCAAGCCTACTTTGGGGTACTAATGTATGTACATTTTGCCTCCTTTTTGGCTGCTACATGTTTCGTTGTTGGCCATCGTATGCGGAGAATCGTTTGATTGAAGAGGTTGGGTGGGTGCAAGGTCAGGAATTGTGAGGCAGTTCGGTGGCTTCGAAGCAAATGATCAGCGCGGTTCACATCTGCGCGCGGCGAGCCCTCCACCTTTTCACTCCCGACTCCGCGATATGGAGCGCAACCCAAAAACATGCGTTAACGCCAGCGGTCAATGACAATATTACAGGTCCATTCGATGCACCCGGGATTTGACGACATAGTTAAGAGCTTGGGTAGGAGATTTGAGCATTCGAGATGAGGCTTTGTGTTGCGGTATCAAGGGCAAATGTAAAACGAGTGTATTGTGTTATTCTGTGTTCTTGTTCTGCTTGTGTCTTGCCTGTCCAAGGCTCGCTGCGGGGTCTGTTTTGATGACGTCTTTGTGATGCAGCTGAGGTTAGAGATGCTCAACAACATGAGCAAGTAGCACCAGACCACCGCCAACAACACGTGATCTGCTTCTCCTCTTAACCGTCACCTTCATGTGCAACACCGACTGCGGTCTCATGGCACCTGCGACACCTTTGGACAGGCCAGAAGCGGTTTAAAATATGCGAGTGCCGGTAACCACTGTTGTCAAACAATGCGAAATTTCGTCATCAGCCATTAACCAGTCGATAGTCAGCTCACAGCATTAATGCTCGCACCGTCTGCATGATGCTGGCACAATTTGGAATGCTCGCGCTCGACGAGTATCACCGAAATGCCGACGATGTCGGCGGCTGGCCGTAGTCACAGCACGAGCGGCACAAACGGCGGCTATCCCGATGCTCTAGCACTCACCAATACGCTACGTATTCAGGGGCCTAGTCGAGCACATCACGCAAGCCGGAGCATGTGTGTTCGAGGCTGCCGCCCTCTGATTGGCCAGCTCGTTTGTTCCCGCTCCCACACACACACATGTAGATAAGCGCTCTTCCGTAGCACCAAAATACACATGATCGCCCACCACATTCATCAATGTGGGTTGAATAGATGCAAACTGTATCCCTGCGACTTCGTGACATTGCCGTGTCACGCTGCAGACCAGCTTCAATGGGATCAGAATATACCACGAGCAATCGACATGGACCTTGAATGCAGCACAGGTCGTAGAATTACCTATACTGATGGACAAGACGGTACCGGTCGTGTCCCGTAATGCGCAATTATAAACATACTTAAGAGGGTCCAACGTGATACATAACGGCCGTCCGAACTCTTTACTAGACTCATTACGGTGATTCCATCGATCAACATCAATAAAACTCTCAACAACAGAAATCAGATCTAATTGTCAAGAGGCTGGGAATCAGACGGCGGTAATATCATTTTAGGTTACTATACGGGGTCAATATGATAATCACCGAAAGCAGGAGGAGCAGAAATCTGAGTGGGCAGATATCGTGAGTCTCGTTGCGAGTAGAGGAATCCCTGCGGAGAGTAACTCTTACCCGGCCAAGCCCCATCTATAACCTAGTTCCTTTTAGCAAGTAGACTAATGGATGACAGTTCGAAACGGTACCTGATTTTGCTCTGTCATTGACTTCATCTAGGCGAGGAGTGCGGACGACTTTTATCTTCTTGGTAACGCAAAGGTTCTTTGCGAACCGTCCAGCGGTGACAATGGTGACTTAGACTTCTTAGTTGACGAAGGTATCTCCCACTCGTCGCCGATTAAAGGGGTCAAGATTCGAGATCGAACTCGAAGAGCTGAACAAAGTGTTCGGGAGCGAGCAGACCAGGCGTACAAGTTATTGTTGATTTAGACGTGGGAATAGTAATCTTGTGCTTCACGTCTTTGGTTCGGACGCGATCTGAAGCCATGATACCTGTGTATCATCTAATCACTATCAGCGCCGGTGTCAAGCTCGGGGATAGGCGCCCGATCAGCACTTACAGAGCCTGCTGACACCTATGCAGAGACAATGTCATGCGCTTGACTCGGATATCGCTCTTGTTCATGAACACCACACTAAACCGACCCGACCAGCCTCCACACTAACGACTGGTGAGTGAAGTCGAATTTAAAGGTGTCGCAGCAGATATCATGCCTATTTACCAGCCAATTCAGGGGTGCAAATGTATGTACATTTTGCCTCTATTTTGGCTGCAACAAAAGGTTACTGTCTGTGGGTCCCTTGGACCGGAGAAGGCGAGGGACAGGCAACATGGCCCAATTGTTGGTTACGTTTCGCACACTACTGGACGTATCGGGGTGACCATGATAGTAAAGTATTACTGACGCACCTAAAAATCCATAGTGTCCAGAGAAAGTCTTGGGGGATAGATGTGAGTAACGCTGAGGTACGCACACAAGCTGTCATGTGCTTCATCGCCGCACGCTTCCAGGCCGCGCCAAATGAAGAACGGGGATGTAAGAACGTCAAATAATTGTAAGTCAGTGTTCAAGTCGACAAGGTCACGACGGGACGCCGTCTCCTCCATCGGGAACTCCTGCATTTTGATAGGGCGAGACATCAAAACATCGCCCCGGTCGTCAAACAATGATTTTGTAAGTCTGCATGATAAGGAAACCTCGCCGCCGCTCAATACTGTTTCAGGCCACCTGATGCGACAGGCTCCGGGCCATTTTGTCGTTCACAGTACCTGAAGGTCAAAAGTTTGGCGACAGTGCAGCTCACTGTCTCTTTTGGGTGGCTGTGAAGCATAAGAGCCATACATATCATACTTATCTACACAAAATCGTAGTACTACCGTTGAACATGCAGGAGGTGACTTCGTTATTACAGCGTTTGAGCTGCCGCGACTGACACGAGTAGCTAGAATTGAGCACACCACTCCAAGTTCTGCAGCATGGCGGACTCGTATAATCTCCACTACATTTGCTACTGGCCAATTGTTGTCACTGACTCGAAGACTGACTCGGCACTCCACGTAACAGACCTTGTGGCGCATCCGTCAAGTCTAGCGAGACGAACGTCTCACATGAACCATTGACTTACCTATTAGCAGCTGCTACGATAGATCCGTTCGAACACTGCTATGGGTCCCAGCATCTGCAGCGGGGGTTGCTCCGATGATCCTCATCAGCTCCGCAACGCTTGTGTGATCAACAGTATTCTGCATGCGATACATGTACTCGCAGGTACCATCTTGAAGGTAATGAGCATAACGTGTCATGATAAGAGGGGAGCACGAACCAGCTGCGATGATCACTTCACCGCCATTTTGCGCCTTGGGTCCAATATACGGCGTGTTCTTGATATCACCAAGTGCAACCTTGATGCCGCCAAAGATTCTACCCATGGCCGTGCCCGCGCCCTGCATATAGTCCTTTGTCTCTTCGCCAGGTCCTTGCTCTTTAAGTGTGGACTTGAACTTCAAAATTTGGTGAAGTTGGCACGTAGGATCCGTATAGATGGGATATACGGACGAGGTAGTGCTCGCGTACGTGTCGATAGGCTGGTACGAGCCATTACTGATGATGAAAACTTGATAGAATCAGCACGATTCACCTCAACGACTTCGACATACTCTGAGTGTCTGCAGGCAAAATGGACGGCGGTATTTTTTCGCTGATGATACGTACATACACTTGGCAGTTCAAGCACCCTTTTATCACATTAATATTAAGATTCACCTTGAGCGTGCGAATGCAGAACTTCTGACATACAGAAGTGTCTCGTGAAGATCAGAATAGATCTCTTGCCCCGTATGATGTCACCGAGCGGTCGCCTCTCCCCATCACGATCATACACCTCGATGCCGAATGCTTCCTGAAGCTCATTGGAAGTTGGGGGGGTTCGAGCTCCCGATGCGTCTTGTTTATTCAATTCTTGAGATGCCATATCGGTTGCACTTGGTACAGGAGGATGGTTCTGACAATAAGCTCGGATATATGCGGGTCAGGCGCGCCCCACTTGCCTGTTTGGGTTGCCCCCAACAAATACGTGCATGCACTCCATGTCCATGCAGTCACCTGCCAAAGGAACCAAGAACGGAGTGGATCATGCATGTCATCAACTCCCTAGGAGCAGACAAGTTGTTCAGAAGCAGAGGTGGTGGACGCGATCTGCGAGCATCTGGTCATTGAGCAGCTTCTCAGGAGGCATTGCCGTATATCCGTGGTGGTTGCGCTGAACGGTCGTCTCATCCATGACACCTTTGTTGTCTCGATGGGCAGTTTTCTAACGCATGATTCGTAGTAGTCGTTGGTAGCATCAAGTTCGTTATGTAGGGTATCGCGAGTGTCCTCGTATCAAAAGCCACAAGGTGAAGTTGTCATCAATGTCATTCGTGTATCGTGAAAATCCTGAGTTGTGCTCTTGCCATGCTCGTGGTCGATCATAACGCTCATCGTCATCAGTCATAAAATCCTAAGAGTCGAAAATAGCCCCATACGCCGGGATGCCTCTCCTCTCCATGTCAAACACAACCTGCTGTGTGAACCGCTTGTTGCTAATGACCAGCACCGCTTCAGCACCGCTCTCTTTGTAAAGTTTATATGTAAGAAGGCTCATGTCAGGTTTGCCTGACTCTCGGGTGTTGTAAATCACCGCGTTGGGGTCGCGTCTGCGCACATCCTCAAGGATGGATTTACCAAATGTCTTTTGGTGGTTTGGTGCCGTCCAGAGAATGCGCATCGCGATATTGTGGTACGGGAAAATAGATAGGCAGGGACCAATACCGGATCCTGTTGCTACCACAACTACGCTCTTGAAAAGAGTCGCAATGCGCAAGACACCGCACGTAGGGATGCCACGCCTCCAAATGTGTGTCGGGTTGTTATCGATGCATCGACCAGTGAAGTCGCCGGCACGACTGACGATGACCGAGTAACCCTTTCCGTTGCTGCTGGGGTTGTTGCCAAGTCCGTTGGTGATTGTCGCAAATCCATGCCAGTCGCGGAGGGGACTCTCGGCGAGGCGGACACCTTGACCAGGCGCAACCTCGGAGTCGAAGTGGAGACGAACGGCATGAGAGGACAAGGCTTCCGATCGAACGGGAATACGGCGAAGGAACAGCCAGGGAAAGATGATCGCACAAGTCGCGGCCGCAATCAGCCAAATTGAAGGGTTGCGCAGGTAAGCCTCTGAGGTTGACTTCCCAGAGCCGCGGCTCAGGTCTTTGGTGGAGAGTCCCACGAGTACCCAGTATAGGCCAAGAATTGTCCAGCCACCGAAACGATGTAAATTCTCCCAGGAGTCGTGGTACTTGTTGCGAAGCGTGGGTTGAGAATGGGCTGCCATTGACAGAAGAAGAGCTAGAATGAAGTAGGTCAGGATGGCGGGTGCAAGTGAGAGAACTCGCGCGTTGGTGTCCTTAGCCAGATCAATACTTGTCCCGACAGCGAATATGGTAAACCAGATGACTGCAGCAATGGCACATCCCACGTGAATACCGCCGATATGGTAAACGTTCGCACAGATTCGCCGTACCCTTAGAGGCATCCAGGTAGGTACTGAAGAAAACACCGTGAAGAGCAGATTAATAACTGGCTCTGATCGTATAAGTATTGAAGCGCACAAGTTGGCTGCCGTGGCTGTTGCAACGTAAGACAACGGGTATTCTTGGCTCTTGATACCCCGATTCAAGATCCAACAGGCGACTCCAATGTTGACAGCCACAATTGGTATAAGGAACCAGCGGTAGGCAATCATCCCGCGATGTCGCAGCCAATGTCCCCTGGGAGAGCCTGTGGGTACCGGCATGATCGCCAAGGTGTCGTCTGGATTCGTGCTGACTGTTGAAGAGCTGAGATGTTTCGTGTGGCAATTAAGTCCTTTTTCAAGATCAATGTCCTGGTGAGACGTGCGCGACGACTCTTGAGTAATAGCAGAGAGGGGCACTACGACTTCTCTTGCGGCGACCACATTGTCATATGCTGAGTCAAATCTTTGGTGACCGGGCTTTGTGGGGTTGATATCTGTGGCAGGAATGCTCGTCCCTGCTGCTAAAGCCTTCAGTTGAGCTTTGTCGACTTTGCCATTTGCATTCAGGGGGATGATCTCGACTCGAATCCAGCGCTCGGGTACTGAGTAGTAAGGGAGGTGCTTTCGCATGAATGCGTCAAGTGTTTCTTCCTCGACAGGAGTAGAAGACGTGTAGTAAGCGTGGAGAATCTCGTCAATAACGAGTGAAGTGGCACGCGCAACGCCATCGAATTGCTCGATGACAGCTGTCACACCTTCGAGCTCGACTCGGAAGCCCTTGATCTTGATCTGATCGTCCATTCGACCGAAGGAGTCGAGAGAGCCGTCAGCCCTCCAGCATACGATATTGCCGAAGTTGTACATGGTAGTGCCATCGTTGGCAAAATTGTCAGGCTGAAACTTTTCCGCGCTCGTGAGTGGAAGATTGATGTAGCCTTTTGATACACCTTTGCCACCTACCCATAGGGTGCCTCTCTGGCCGACAGGAACCGGCTCATTGGCTTCGTCGAGTATGTAACATGTAGTGTTGGGAAGCGGTCGACCGATCGATAAAGGTTCACCAGTTTTGTGCTTGTGCGCAGAGAACAGAAAAACCTCTGTCGAGCCGAGCAGGTTGTAGAAGCATCGACCCTGTGCCCACTCTTCGGCCAGCCTGCATTTGGAGTCAGCGATTGGGTGTTTCATCAATAATGAGAGGTACGTACGATTGTGAACAAGCTTCTCCAGCAACGACCATCGTCTTGATATTTGGATAGTCCTGATGTTGATATTTCGAAAGGATGGAGGGTGTGCAGATAAGGGTATCAATCTGATGACTGATTAGTATACCATCCACACAAGGAGAGAGGGCGGTAACAGACCTGCTCCAATGTGGCGTTCCAGTCAGATCCTCGCAGATACAGAGTGCCGCCATTGACTAGAGATCCGAGCATTTCCCACGCACCTGTTGGACCAGTCAGTGACGCACTATATTCTTGACAAATACTTGTTTACCCATGGCGAAAGATACACTTAGCACTTGCGCAACCTTGGATCCGACGGTGATCCGTAGCCGCCCCGGCTCGAGCAACAAAGCGTTGGTCATGGTACTGTGCTTGACATCGACACCCTTTGGTACGCCAGTACTTCCTGTGGCTGGTGAGTTTTCGTGACAAGTCTTGATAATGCAGGACGCACCTGATGTGTACATGGCATAGATGCCGTCATTGCCGGAGACTTTGACACTGGGCCTGAGAGAGGAATAGAAAGCTCCTGTGTCCATGCCCAATTCAAGCACAATAGCGTCCCGTCGTGCGAATTGCCTGACCTTGTCCCAATATTTTGGCAGGCAGAGTATAAAACGAGCCTCTGTGTCTTCAAAGATGTGTTTGAGTGCCTGATCCGAGGCGACCCCACCATCGATGGGAACATACTGACAACCAGCCTTCAAGATAGCAAGGAGACCTATGAGCATTTCCACGGAACGCTGTACCACAAGGCATACCCTTTGCCGTGGGCGAAGACCCGAGTTGATGAGGTGATGTGCGAGGCGATTGGCGGCCAGGTCCAGCTGGTGGTATGTGATCATGCGATCGTCGTGTACTGCAGCGACGACTGTAGGATAGGTATCTACGATACCCTCAAAGGCTTCGTGTACGGTGTCGTGGGGTACAGGAAGTCTCGGGCCGCGGCCAAACGTAGATACGAAGGCCCGGTCTTTCGCCGACAATTCAGGCATGTGGCTGAACTCAACCTGCTTCTTCATGATGCAGAGGCAGTAGTGTGAATCGATGGCGACAAAGCAAAAGCGCGGAAGCCTCCTTGCAATAGGACTGCTGCTGCTTTATACAGGGTGCATGCTGAACGAGACGCCTTACTTCAGGTAGTAGTGCTGCCGTAGTATGCTGCAGGCCAGGGAACATTAAACCCACATTAGCAACGCCACTGTATCTTACAGACCCATCAGGCGTCCCCCATGAACAGTCGACTCGTGTCAAGGTCGACTGACCAGTAGATTATGGACGGGCAACTCGGCCACCCTGGTCTTGGAGATCCAGCAGCCTGGAAGTGGCTGGTCGTATAGCGTACAGGCCATCTGATGTCTCATTCTTTGGACAGGCTTGTCCTATCAGAGCGAGAAGGTATGCCGGCAAGACGACCCACCGATCTTGACATTGATCTGGCTATGTTGAACTGACATGAGTCGTCTAAGTATGTAGTAATGTCCACATCGGTAGTCATCTGCGTTGTGTGAAGCGTCCACATTGGTGAGAGACTAGGAAAGATGGGGTGCCAATGCAGCTGGGTCGCCAATTACGAATCTGCCCGTCGAACTAGATCATTGCGGAACGTCTGATCGCGGTACGAAGCACCGAAGATCATTTCGAAGTCGCCGGGGCCACCAATCGTGCAGAATGTACCCAGGTACTGGCCGCCTTGGAAGGGCATAGTAAGATACTCTAGCTATGGCATCTTCACAAATACGGAACACATGTTGGTGACGTTAGTCAAAAAAAGTTTGCTCGGTCTCCGAACAAGGCTGGTACCGCTCGGGATGGCGGGTAGCTATCGATCATAGCATGGCGGTGGGCGGCCCGCGGTCATTGCATGCTTGTGTATACAAGGGAACCTGTCCGTGGTACCTATGCCTGAATGCTTACTTGGTGGGCCGCAGAACGAATATTAGAACTGTCGGGGCTTTGCTGACAGGTACCATCCGCCCATGATCCTTCGGACACGATGTATCGAGCTAAAGGTCCCCAGGCATTCCTTCACTGCAGGCGTACAGGCCGCCGTTGATCCCATCTTGTACCATAGGACTGTGCCGCATGCGCGGACGGCGGGGCAGCGATGAGTTGCATCTTAGTCGCATATGCTCGCTGCTTGGCGGCCGTCAATTATTGCCGTTGATCGAGAATCCGTGGGGCATGCGAACGAGACCTGCATGGGAAGGCATGCAACGCAGGTCTATCGCGCTGGATGGTCAAAGCTGCGCACTTGCTTGCGAAAGCTGATTCGCTCGCAGCCGCAGACCCTTGCGAGCGAGCGCATGTAGGTACACGTGCTGAGTACCCACCTCAACTCCGTCCCGCGAACGCCGAACACTCAATCTTTGTACATCAGTTGGTTCCTGCCACCGCGTACAGACCATGATCTTAGCGGGTGTGTTTGAACAATCTGCCTGCTCTGTGAGGAGCTGACGCCTCGCAAGCATCTTTATCGTTTCCAATTAGGAACCATATAGGTAGCGAGAGGATGGTGGCTGTCCTCAAAAGCGCCATTTAATCGCACCGAAAAGCATTGACACTAGGTGGCTCTGGCCCGGAGAGCGGCTCGAGCGCTTGACCGAGGATGGCAAGACTCTGCTGCGTTGTCGACGCAGATCGAGTACGAGGTTGGGGTTATCGCTGAGTGGACTCTCTTTTTACCGTCCTGGACCGAGCCGCAGGTGCCAGTGCAATAATGGCGCGCGTCGGTGTCATTCGTAGCGCAGAATAGCGGCCCCAAAGGCTGCAAAGGTTGACCGCTTCTTCTTCCGAATAGGTACACGGGTCGAATCGCATCTTCTTCCCTGCAGAAGGCTTGCGCAAACAATCATGCCGAGGTAGGAAGCCACGTGTGAGTGGTGTCAACAGGGTGCCAGCGAAGGTTGCACACGCAATGCAGGTACGTGCTGCACCGTCGGCCGTTTCCAGTCACCATCGCCCGCCATTTTCAGACACCCTCAAAGTAGAATAAAGAGAAAAATAAAAGCAAGTCATAATAGGATCATGGAATAGGTCAGGACGGTGAGATAATGAGACTGACGAAAGGGTCTGATGCACCAGCGACATTGCAGCTGTGACGAAGTAAACATCAGCAACGAAGGGAGCGCCATACGAATAGCGTCCAATGACACCATAATATCCTCCAAATCCTGGGAGGAATGCAAGTCGGGCGTCACAATAAAGGCGTCACGAGACGCGAATGAAGGAAGCTGGCTGTTGAAGAGATGAAGGTGTTGTTGTCGGTTTGGTGAGGTGAGTGCCATCACCCCTCCAAACATACGTTACGTGGCTGGCCCCCACTGCATCTGGTTACCTCACAGCATGGTCTGGTATAATTGATTGCACTTCTTGCAAAGAAGCTCATTTGTATGTCATAGGCTTCGCGCTCGCGATACGGCATACGCCAGGGACGCTCGACTAACGTTAGCTCTGGTTGCAGCAATCTGATCTGCGCGCACGCACATACTTCGCAGCGAGCCGGCAAAATTAACGCAGGATGCGTCGAGGTTTATCTGACAATCTTGATATCGTGTACTTCTTTCCACGAATCGTAGAATTATAGGATGATTGCGATGTATCGATTTCCAGCGCCGTGGGGAAGAGCAATGTGCAGATTTGAAGGACGAGCCACGTCGCAGTCCAAAATCCAAGAGACGAACTTGTGGAGGATGTCAATCTGCTTGGCGGCGGTACGCGAACATGATTTCCATCCCGGTCCTTGCATCTGGAGCCGTGGAAGACTGCGGCACAGTCAAAGGATTTCGAAGGCTGCAGAACTAAACCACATTCGTGAGCTCATCCGTATAACCTGACTAGTCGATGGAGTATCCATTGAACCGGCAGCATATTCAACCAGAATGAGATCCAAATCAGTGGCTGGTGCAGCGCAGAACTATTGACGGGATTAAGGATCGAGGCTTCGTTCGTAGGCGAATGCAGTCGTCTGTTACGTCCAGCCCCGGGGCCGCTCAACCTATCCGCATCACGTTGGATCACTTCTCCGGAGACGTACTGCTCGTGATACTTTGTTCTTCTCAGCTTCGGTCAGGCCGAGGACGACGCCGCGTTGCCCGCCAATGGCACATGTAAGCATACCCAAATTTCCACTAGACCAGTGAAGGAGTGGGTGGTGGCTTCTGCATTCATCGATCCTAAGTGCATCGACAATTCGAATCATCGCCCAATTTCCTCAAGGATTTGGCAAGGATATGGCTTCTTGCGCCTGGATTCGGCACGGTCGAACTGCGCGTGAGGGATGTCGCTAGTCAGGCTCTTGCTTCGTAGCTGAATTGTGTTCCTTACTACAACTTACAAGGTATGTGTGGACTCCATGCATGTCATACATGTCATCTCCAACTATGCTAGTAATCGATCTTGCAAAGGTGACTGTAGTCCAGGGGGATTCCGGCTGCAAATGTGAGAGGAAGAGCAGGCTGCGCTGTGTTACTGTAGTTCGTAGATTGTTGATGAGTTGTCACAACGCCGTACTTACTGACCCCGCCACCGCCAAGATGCATTGTTTATCCACAGCGCCCAATCAACACTTGACTTTCAACGACAGATCGCTCACCTTTACACCGTCACCTTGATGTCTGACGGACATCGTTCAGCTTGCAACGACAATGAGCCGTGTCGTTGTCAGCAGCTAACAGTGGCTGGATGACCGCCCTTTGTACCTCAACAAGCGTCATACGTAATATTTGTTGTGCCTCTGATTGGCCGGTAACTGCACAGCCACACAGATGAGAACAAGTCCTGCCATTGCAGCCTTGTGCTAGTCCGCCGCGCCTTTAGGCGCAGTCGTCAAGAGGAGAAAGTATGTTCGATTTCACCTGCAAAAGACGGTAGAAAGGGCTGTAATAACCAAGAGTTATCCCTCTGACTCACTGCTGCCTAAGGACAATCACTTGTATTTGTTCTCGCAGCAAGCTTCCGGAGGGAGGACCAACTACAGACTTCTGGGCTTCGTCGCAAAACTTCTTCGCCACACACTCTCAACAGATAGCCTGCCCGTTTCTAGAGGGGGAGATAATCAGCTGAATCGTCATCCTCACGTCCACTGCCATGGATTTTTCCCGTCTGCAAAACTTGCAGTACGAGTTGAACTCAGCCAATACCACAGCCGCGAATTTGCCATCGACACTGCTGGAACTAGTCGTTCCCGGATACAGCACGATTTCTCAGCTCGCTTTTCGAATCCTGGGTATCGATATCGGGGTCCTTGTAACAGGCTGGGCACTGCTGTTTGGCTCCCACACGGCCTGGCGGTACCTCTACGATCTGGTCCAGGGATACTTCGACAATTACTATACATCTTCCATCCATATCAGCGACGATGACGGCTTGTTCGACGATGTCAAGGCTTGGCTGTCTGAACAGCAAAACAGCAAGTCCAGCAGGAAGCTGAAAGCAGTCACAGACTACGAGGACAAGAAAAAGGATGATAACGTCCATGACGAGCACGGAATCTACAAGTATGAGGTTCCCATGCCGCGGTACGAGCCCAGCTACGGGAGCGACGATTTCGTTCACGGCAGGCGGCGCTTCAAAGTCGTTCGCTCGAGCGTAAAGGACGAAGCCGGCTCGTACATGCGCGAGACGCTAGAAATCTACTGTTATTCGCGGACCGCACAGCCCGTCAAGGAACTCCTGGTTCACATCAGACAATGGAAGATCAGCCAGGAAACCGCCATGACAAGCGTCTACCGCGCGCTAAACAGCGGTGGTCGCTATTGGAGTCGGCAGTCGTGCCGTCCGTCGCGCCCGCTGCACACAGTGTCTCTCGACCAGCAGCAGAAGGACGATGTTGTCGAGGACATTAACGAGTACCTGCACCCTGCCACGGCCAGATGGTACGCAGCAAGGGGGATACCACACCGGCGCGGATACCTTTTCCACGGCCCCCCCCGGTACCGGCAAGACCTCTCTATCGTTCGCGCTCGCAGGCGTCTTCGGGCTGGAAGTGTACTGCGTCTCGCTGAACGACAAGGACCTGACGGAGTCTGATCTATGCTCGCTCTTCGACTCCCTGCCGGACCGGTGCATCGTGCTGCTCGAGGACATCGACAGCGCCGGTCTCAAGCGCGAAGAGGAAGCCGGGGTCGAAATTTTCAAAAGCGGGGACTCGAGTTTGGAGGCGAGCAGTAGGGAAGCGACAAAAGCCGCCGAGACCAAGACAGAGATCTCGTCTGGATCGATCAGTCTGAGCGCTCTGCTAAACGTCATCGATGGCGCTGCGTCGCACGAGGGCCACGTTCTCATCATGACGACCAACACGCCAGAGCAACTCGACGCGGCGCTGATCAGACCCGGGCGTGTCGACCTGCAGGTCGCTTTCACACTTGCCACGGACGATCAGATCCGCGAGACCTTTATGCGCATGTACAGCCAAACGCCTGGGGAACAGACCAGCGGTGGCCGCCTGCCGAGCAGCAAGTCGCGGCCTGTGTCTCGGATCACGGATCCCAAGACGCTCGAGGAGATGGCACGGGAGTTCGCAGCGCAGCTACCTTCAGATAAGTTCTCTCCTGCAGAGATTCAAGGGTATTTGTTGATGAGGAAAAAGGACCCGCGAAGAGCGCTGAAGGATGTGGAGAACTGGAGGGATGAGATGCTCGAGTCGAAGAAGAAGGGCAAGAAGCTGGTCGGCGCACACTAGAGAGCATGAGTGACGATAGTGGTAGCGAATCAAACCCCGATACCTGCTTGACAAGGTACTCTGCCGCATAGGTTCTGCAACAGTACTTTCATGTTCCCAAATGACCCTGCTGTTAGACATGCACTCGTACATCAGGCTGTCCTATACATCATTAGGTATTGCTGTGGTTTCTGGTTTACCAATTGGCGAAAATATTGTATTGTAATACCTTTCTAAAGATAACGCTTCTAGGTCCACTTCGGTCACCCTATGTACCAGGAAAGCTCAACTTGGTCTCCGGCCCGAGATCATTCCACCACTCCTTCGAGCGCGAAATCCCAACCACGCCATCTTTTCAAGATATACGGAAGGTGCTCTACACACTGGGCATAGTATGTAGCACCGCCATCGGGTTGCTGCCCGCTTTGTGAAGTCGTATCATTCCATCGACAACGAGACCAACCCAGGGCAGACCCTTTGGCGGGATGGACGATTTAAAGTCCGCTATATATTGCTGTGCTTGTTGATACCTCGTCATCTGAACCGGGTCTGTTGGAGGCGCCTGCAGGTTCATGATGTCGGTGCACGTCCAGAGATGCGGGAGTTGTGACTGCACGTATGCGGGGAGCTGAGAGAGGTCGTGGATTGCGTATGTGGAAGTGGGAACGGAGGTGTGCGCTGCTGTCCGTTCTGCTTCGGCCTCTGCTCGAATGTGCTCGGCCTCTGTCGTGTGATGTGCCGGGGTGAAGTGCCTTTGGTACGGGTGCTCGGCTACTTGCTCCGCATGAGCCTCTAGCTGAGCATTGTACGCCTCCGCCTGGGCATTATATGCCTCTGCCTGTTCTTCTGCCCTCACCTCAGCTTGCAGCCGCGATTCGTGGAGAGCTGCGTGTTCCTTGAGTTTCACGGCCGCGCCGCGCGACATGTCCTTGATAAAGTCCATGGCCTGTGCCTTCTGCGATGGGATAGCATCGCTGTGTACCATGTTCCATGCGTCTATGATCATGTTGTTGACCTCCATGCGCCGCTGTTGTGAGATGAAGGAGTATGCAGGATCGGCGATAAGCTCACTTGGGCGAAGCAGCTTCTCCTGTGAGCCTGCAGTAGGCAAATCGTGTGGTGCTGGACACGGCGTAGGCGGCCTCGACTCGAAAGACGATTCTTGCCTTGGCATCGATGCGTGCTGTAAATTAGGCATGGTGCTGAGACGAGACCGAGGTGAATCGCGCGCTGAATTGTACGCGATAGGGTTCTGCGCAGACAGAGGCAAGTCATACAAGCGTTGCGGCAGAGGCTGCGGTAGGAACTGCGGCAAAAGCTGCGAGTCGGAACCTGGCTCATCGTCGACCTCTGGACGGGTATCAACGCCGAAAATGTAGTCGGTGTATGCAGGAAAACATTCACACTCCCGTAGATAATTCTCCCAGTCGCGGTCCCGGAACGGCATTGCGAAGACGTCTGACGGAGACGGTCGACGGTGGTGTTCAGTTCTGGGTAAGTATGCGTCTGGGTAAATATTCGTCTGGTGAATTTTTGGAGCAAGAGCAAACGATCAGCCGAGCTCCTCCACCATCTTCACTCGCCATTGCGCGCCCCACTTTCTCATTGCGCCCAGCGCCATGAACCCCGTGACAATACTCCACAGCCCAAGTATCGTCATAAGCCAGCCGTTGCCAATAGCGCGCAGTATGGGCTCTGCTACCATAGCGCCAGTGAAGGAGCAGATGTTGCGCAGGAAGTTGTTCAGCGCAATGCCAGAAGCAGCACGCTTTGGCATGAACTCTGTGAGCATCGTGGAGACGAGAGAGAAGATCAGCATCGAGCCGACACCAAAGAAGACTGGAGCTTGCGTCAGTTGGAATGAAGTAGAGGTGAAAGAGTAACGTACAGTTTGCAATCATCGGGACGATCCAGACCACACCCTTTTCCGCGGTCCAGCCGTACCAGATCAGCGCACCGGGCCATAGGATGGCAGCTATCCACGCATTCTCTTGCATGCGATCTTCGGGTCTGAGCACCAGCTTACCTTTTTCATCGTACCTGCCTGCCTTTCGTGCTTCCCGGTGCATGATGTTATCAATCCAACGACCACCGAAGAGACTAGCCAGGAGGTAGCCAGCGCTGTTTGGGATATACAGCAGACCAACTATGAGCGTGGAATAGCCGTAAGGCTGCGCGGAGAATGTAGCTTGGACTGAGATGTTGAGGATATACAAGGATCCGAATGTGATGCTGGCGTAGTACACCGTGAGTAAGACAGGCGGGTATCGCAGCCATGCGAGGATTGTGAGAGGCTGCACAAACGTCTGGTTCAGATGAGTGAGGACTGACTTTGTCATCGCGACAGTTGATGCGCGTGTTGAAGTCCTGGTAAGCTCTGGTCTAGCCTCCGGCCTAGTCACCGGCGGCTTTGCGAGTGTCTCTGGCAGCGCAAAGATGATGGCGACGACTGTCAGAGCACCATAGATGACCAGAAACCACTGGGTACTTCTCCAGCCAAGCCCTTGACCAAGCGCACCACCAATGATAGGGGCAAAAAGCGGCCCACAGAGCGGACCAAGATAGAAGATGCCCATCGCCCTGCCGCGCTCGCGCACTTCCCAGATATCTGCGATCGTCCCTGCACCCACTGCCTGAACCGACGCTGCTGCACCACCTGAGAAGACGCGCATGATAATCAGCATGGCGATATTTGTAGACACAGCGGACAGTATACCAAAGATGACGAATAATGTGAAGCTGACGATGTAGATTGTTCGTCGGCCGAGGCGTTCACTGAAGCTGGACCACCATAGAGGGAAGATGGCCATACTGAGCATGTACACGGCGACGCTCATGTTGGTGATCTCAGGCTTTGCATCGAATGCCTTGGCAATGTCCTGCAACACAGGCATGACGATGGCACTTCCCATGGGCCCAGCCATGGCGCAGAACGCAATGATGAATGTCAAGAGCCATTTCGTCTTACGCGAGTAGTGGTAGGGATTCTCGACTTCTGGTAACAGGGCGAATCGCGCAAGCAGACCACGACGCTCGGACTTGAGCACAACGACAGCGTCCGGGGTTAGGGATGTCGTCCGGGTCAGCGTTGCGGGATGCACGCCCTTCTCATCTTGAAGAATAGTCGGCGCCGTCGAGGCGTGTGAGTGTATAGAGCCGGAGTCCTCGGAGCTTTCGTGTATGAATCTAGTCGGGCCTATCTCTGATTCATTGTCTTTCTCACCGAGCCTCCCAATGTGTGTTGTGGGCTGTGCGGGAGCAAAGCCGTTCTCCATAGCCTGTCCAGACATAGCTGTAGTCGAGTCTGGCATGCTTCATCTAGAGTTGGAGGCCTCAGCTATTTTTATGTCCTGTGCCGCCTTCGCACACTGCTTTTCCGAGCCAGTTGGTCGTTATCCGTTCTCGTACGAGAAGCCCCGGTGTTCGGCTGTCGCGAATGCCGATCCCTGCTCTTCGACAGACACTACACAGTAAGGAAACAGATGCTTCAATGAGAGCTACAGGAAGGATGGCCAGAGAGAGGGAAAGGCATGATGGAGCCGGACACGCCACGGTGGACACGCGAGCTTGTTCGCTAATAATGAAACGAAGACCGTTCGGTGCTTCGACGCGTGCTGAAGCGGTTTGGTGACGGGAACAGCACCACTCACGTTGCCACTACCTCCGACACTAGTATCCACCGCGGAAGCATGTAAGCTGGACAAGGTGTAACTTTGCGGGTACGAGTGCGGGTGCGAGTGCGAAGGATGGAGCTTGACATTATAACATGTGCTGTGCTGCCCTTGACCATGCTCAATGAGAAACAGGACTATGTCTCGCTTGAGTGTCTGCCGTGCAACGGAAGAGCGCTCAGCTAGGAAGTGCGATGGCCAGCGAGTCGGCGGTTCTCCAAGTTTCCAAACATCAACAGTCAAGGCAAGCTGATCTGGAGCTTGAAGTACAGCGGCGTGTCTCCTTCGCACAGCGAGGGCGTGGCGACTGAACTCAATTGACAACGACTCATGTTGACCCATCGTTCAGTACAGTGGAGGAAGGAGCTATGATCAGCGGGCAGGAAGCTGAGACAAGAACAAGACCACCTTCAGATGACTAAACTTCTGACATGCAGCTACGTCAACACGAAAGCCACGCTGAGCTGTGGTCGAACTAATTCGTAGATACAGCCTGCTATAATCAGGACAGTCGACAGCGGCACCCAGCGGTGTCTGTAACGCCGTCCAGACGCCGAATGACGCGGGGCGGGGCGTTCGTGCCACCCTCCACCCACAACAACCTCAGATCAACCACCACCGCGCCGAATAGCCATTGGCGCACGCCCAGCCGTCCAGCCCTCACGACTCCATCTCCAAAGCTCGACCCAGCGTCATCGCCTCGCCCTCGACCATGGCGACGCAGAACCAAGACCGCCTGCGCACGCACTTCGCCTCGCTGGAGTCGACAACGCGCGCACAAGGCAGCGGCTGGGACACGCTGTGGGAGCGCGCCTCCTTCCTTCCGTGGGACAGGGGCTACGCGAACCCGGCGCTCATCGACCTGCTCTCGAGCTCAAGCTCGTCCGCAGCGCCGCCGTCGTCGCCGGACGCGAATCCCACGCCCGGCGCGCCCGCAGTTGATGCGAAGCCCGTTGCAGTCCATCTCCCCACGGCGGCCGAAGGGGGCAGGAGGAAGAAGGCCCTCGTCCCGGGATGTGGGAAGGGGTACGATGTTGCGCTGTTCAGCGCGTACGGGTTTGATGCGTTTGGCTTGGAGGTCAGCCCGCACGCTGCGAAGGCGGCGGACGAGTATCTGAAGAATGCCGGCGCGGGGGCGTTGGACAACGAGTACGAGGGGAAAGACGGGGGCGCGGGGAAAGGGAGGGCTGTGTGTCTCGTCGGCGACTTCTTCGATGATGCGTGGGTGGCACAGGCCGGCGGGGGAGGCTTCGACATCATCTACGACAACACGGTGCGTAAAGAACAGTGGCAGCACAAGGGTGTGAGTCGGCGCTGACATTGATCCAGTTTCTCTGTGCGCTCCCGCCGTCCCTCCGCCCCCAGTGGGCGAAACGCATCTCCTCCCTCCTCGCGCCGGCCGGCAGGCTCATCTGTCTCGAGTTCCCCACACACAAGCCCGCGTCGTCGGGCGGCCCGCCGTGGTCGCTGCCGCCCACGGTGCACGCGGAGCTGCTCAAGCGGCCCGGCGAGGAGATATCGTACGACGAGGCGGGCGTAGTGGTAGCCACGGAGCGCAGCGCCGGCGAGGGCGCGCTGAAGCGAGTAGCGCACTACGTACCACAGCGGACGCACGAAGTGGGCATCATCAAGGGCGTAGTGCGGGACTGCGTGAGCGTGTGGATGCACTCCTAACCGCGTAACCCTCTGACAGGCCCCATCCAAAAAAATTCAACGGCTTCAAGCCTCCACCTTGCGCAGACTGTTGTAATGCTCCCCCAGCCCGTGACTATGCCTATAATACCCCAACCAGATCTCCTCCCTGCCTTCCTTCTCGCCCTCATCTTCAATCTTGTCCACCCGGCCATCGCTATGCAACACGCAGATGCGCACCCCGTAGCTCTTCGCCAGTGCAAGCAGTTCCAGATGCCCGCCCCACTCGCCCGTCTCGCGAATCTTCCTGACGTGTTCCGGCAGGGCGTCTTCCATGAACGGCTCGAAGTCGTCTCTGTGTCCCTCTATCCAGTCCGCAGCCGCACACCGCGCCATTTTATACGGCGGCGCGTTGTCCCTTTCGGCCGTGGTGAGAGAGAGAGGCACCCGCGGTTCGAGCGAGACGGAGCGCGCGCTGAGCTGGTCCGCGACCGCGGCGTACAGACAATGCCCGTCTGCGCGTATCTCGTGCAGCCGCAGGCCCTTCTCTTCCAGCACCGGTTCAAAGCGGGCCTTCTCCAGCTCCCGCGGATTGGGTGCGTTGCGCGCTTCCTCCTCTGCGCGCGCGACGGCGGCGTCCTGCTCTGCTTTGCGGCGCGCGAGGCGCTCTTTCTGCCTATTCTTTTTCTTGCCCGGCGCGCTGGCGTCGCTTGCGGTAGCCGTTGGTGCGCTCGTGCTTGACCCCGTGCTGGACGGCGCGGCGGTCCCGTTGATGCTCAGCCCTTCGATTTCGATATGCACGACGTCGTCTTTCTCGTCCTCGGGCTCGCTCTCAAGGACGTGCTCCTCGCCATCGCCGTTCAGAACGCGAACTTCCTCCGACTGTCGCTCTCTCAGGTCTTGCTCCAGTCGCTCGCATTCGTCGTTGACGCCTTTGCGCGTCTTCTTGCTGGCTTGCTTCTTCTTCTGCGTTATCCGCGAGACCAGATCGCGGGTTTCTTTGCGGTGCCGCTGCTGCAGCGCTTCGAGCGGCGACGGCGTGTCTGAGGCGGGTGCTGTGACGTCGCTGGACATCTTGCACGGTAGAGACTGTTGTTTGTTGGCGTGTGGAAATACTTGGTAGGGTGACGTGGGGCAGGCTGCGAGTTTGGTTATCGATAAGGATGACGATGGTTGTTCCTGTCGATCTTGTGGGTGGAGTTTTTGACTACGGGAGCATGCTGATAAGTGCTTGAGCTCGACGACTCCATTAAGTTATCGCTATTCTATCTCGCTATGGGTATCTTCTTCTTCTTCTTCTTCTCCGTCTATGCAACGCTAAGTATGCTGGAATATCAGATTCTATACCTTTTTTCTGTCCGTCTGTACGTCCCTCCTTGCTTCACACATTAGCATTACATCCCCCATCTACTTATACAGGTCATCGTTCGTCTCGTTCTTCGCTGGCGCAGGATGCGTGGGATGCGCCTGCGTTGCGGCCGGCGCTGGTGCCGTCTCTGTTGCTGGAGTCTCTCGCGTCTGTTTAGCAGGGGCCTCGCTCACATTTGCTGGGGGCGCGGAGACAGCCGCTGGAGCAGCAGCTGCTGAAGGAGCATGTGCCGGAGGGGCTGTCCCGGGAACAGATAACGGCGCCTGCTGAGGCAGTGGAGGCAACTGAGCGTTCGTCGGCAGCGATGTAGGAGGGTGGTACATCGGCTGAGGCGCCTGCGGTGGTGTCGCTGTGCCCTGTGATGTTGCTGTGCCGGGGACAGACTGAGACCCGACTACCACGCCGCCCTTGGGCACATGGGCTGCATAGTAACCGCCCTGCTGCAGGTAGCCTTGCTGCATTGCATATCCCGGTGCACCGCCGTTGGGACCTTGCTGCCACCCCGGCGCGCCAGGAGGATGACCGTAGTAGAACACTTGTCCAGGCGGTGCCTGAGCCATAGCAGGATGCAGCGGCTGACCCTCCGGCACGATACCAACAGTCTGCCTCGAGAACTGTCCGAGGATGGGAACAGGGTATCGGCGTCTGAAGCCCCAGGACCAGTTCTTGAACTTCTTGCCCGCGGGCATCTCTTTCCACTGCTGCTGCAGCGCCTTTTGGTCCTCCTTGCTGCGCGCGTCTTGCATGCGCGTGAAGCACAGAACCCACAGCGAAAGCAGGATCCAGCACACTGTGCCGCAGCGCATGGCCGACTTGCCTTTCATAAGGCGCGTGTACCAGAACCAGGACTCGAAGAATCCCAACAGGAAGATGCCGGGCAGCACGGTCGCGAGGATGATGATCCATGTCTTCACGCTTGTGCACCCGCTGAAGTAGCACATGCGGTAGTCGTACCAGGAGTCGTCGTCGGATCCAGAGCTGGACCCGGTGCCAGATCCAGAACCATCTCCGTTGCGAGATCCGGCTGTTGATCGGGCTGGTGGTGGTGTGCAAGACGCGATGTAGTAGCTGTAGTAGATGTCGTCCGTACTGGTGAAGGGTGCCGCGCCCTCGGTGAGCCACCATGTTTGGATCTCATAATCGTATGAACGACCACTGCTGACGCTGACCTCTGTCGATGCGGGCTTCAACTGGGGCGCGACAATGGAAGGGACATCTGTGATCTCGGCCTGTGTAGCCACTGTGAAGATGGTCGGACAGCTTGCGGGTGCTGTCATGGTGACTGGCATGTAGTACTCTATCGAGCTGTAGGTCGTCCTTGTCGAAGCTGTCGCAGTCGAATAATCGTATCCATCGTAGGTGCTGATATCAGATTCCGCGACCGCACCGGTAGCGTAATACTCTTCGACAACTGCGACATTCGAGTAGTAGTAGCTGGTCAAGTACGTCGATGTCGGCGTTACTGTAGGTGTTACGGTTGGCTTGATAGTTGCGAGGTCGGTATATCGGTAGGTGGTGGTCGATGGCTCCCCGTAAGTATAAGTGTAGGCTTTTTCTGAGACAGAAGGAACGTAGCGAATTGTGGCCGTCCAAAACATCGATGTCCTTGTCGAGCTCTTAGTGTTGCCATAGTAGTAGTCGTCCGTGAGGGAGTAGAAGTTCGAATTATCCGTCGTCTGTGCATTCACGCCAGCGGCAATAGCAAGAGCTGCGAGGGCGCACCTGAGAGCCATGGCTCTATGTTGACGATCAACCTCGTGGGTGTTGAGCCTCGAGGCAAATAGGTATCGTGAGATCGGGGCCGCCAACGTCAGGGCGTCGAGATTACTTTAAGCTCCCCAAGCTTCACGCTGTCCTGCTATTGTGCCGCGTCTGAACGAACAAACAAACCGTTGACCGGTCGCAGAGTCACAACTCCTTCTTTCTTGGCATCCTGCTCTTAGCCCTGCACAAACTGATTGTCTATCCATTACGCGACCAATAGAGCAAGCTTCGGGACGCCTTTGTAACGCAACTCACCCAATCGCGCGGTCCATCCGACCGCGTGATGACGGTTTGAGGACCGTGAGCCTTCGGACGGGGCCGTGCAAGCAGATGTTGTCAGGGAGGTGTCTTCCTCGCATCTACGCGACTCTACAAAGCACCACATCCGGCGAGTTCGGCAGGGGTAAGCGGAATTGATTAGACTATTTTAGGGCTACACCACTCGTATCGCCATGATCCATCCAGGGGTCGTGGGATGCCTAAGCGGCCCAGGGAAATTTTGCTGCGCTGCACCCCTAATATAACTCCACGCCTGTCCAGCGATTATTCAGTCGCGATGTTATTGTTGTGACTCTGCTCGTTTGGTGGAGCTATTCATCTGCATCAGCAGGACGTCGGCTTCAACAGCATGATGAGGATGGTCACTGCACTGCAACATCGTTCGGCCTGCACGATGCTTGGTCATGACGGGGTGGAGTGTGTATTAAGTTCGCGGGTGACAGAGATTTGAGGGCGGAAGTGGCGTTCGAGATTCGCTCGATTCGGCTGACTTTAAAACCCGCCACGGAACGGCGGTAAACCCTACCAGTATAGTGGCTAGGCATCACAGCTAGGCATCACAGCTAGGCATCACAGCTAGGCATCAGCGCCCTCTACTGGCGATGTTTTTGCGATGCTTTTGCGATCATCGCGGGTGAATGGGAGAATGAACCACCTTCTTCATGCAGGATCGGTGACCGTTCAGGCGCGGTGCTTGGCCGTCATGACATATCATTATAAACACAAAGGTTGCGAGAGCATATGTTCACAAGGGCCGTTGTGGTAATCTTTACTTGCTAATGGTTGTGCATGTCGTCTGTGAGTACAGGCTGCTTGAGTTATGCTGCTCGCCGTGATGCAGTTTTCAAAGGCGCAGAAAAGGTGGTGCACAAAAGCATGACGCCAAAGCCTGCATGAAGTTCGCCAGGACAATACTCTGCCGTGCTATGCGAATTCTCTAACGCCTGGCTTAATGTCAAATCAATTCAAGCGCGAGGAGACCTCCACGCTTACACAAGCAGCCATGCTATACAACCCATTGGCCTGGAGATGCCGTTGCCGATAGTCGGTGGTGTAGGAGTGATATATGACGCAGCAATCGCTGCTAGCGTAGCAAGAGCTGTTAATGTCCCATTGATAACCAGGAAGCATCCGAAGGGTGCAAACGAGAGCGTTGAGCTGGAGACTGTGGTGGGTGGGCCGCCTGGGGCGATGGTTTGTCCCAAGATGACGAAGATTGGTCCTGACTCGTCTTGGGCGTCTATGTTCTGCACCTGCGGTCTCTCAGATTCAACAAGGTTACCACCTGGGGATGTGCCTGATCTACTCGTGGGTAGCGCTTTAAAAGTTGTTCCGCCAAAGATTCATTCTGACGGCGCGTTCAAGTACAATACAAATGCGGCGCCTGATTGAGGAGCAGCACTGAACACCTGTGGAAGAACTGCAGTTGTTCCGCCAA